CAGTACTATCGCATCTTTGATTCCTTGGCTTTTCATGCCAGTTTACGTTTAAAACTGTTACCCTCAGTTGGAAACTAAAGGCCAAAAATAAAGACTGCAGGTGGGGTCGAAACCAGCACCACCGGCTTGAGAGACAGACGCCCTGGCGATCCACCATGCGCACACATCGTCCCAAACGGGACACAGGGGAGTCGAGCCTCCTAGGATCCTCAAAAAAGGTAACGGAGAAAGCGCCTCGAGAGGAAAGGGCGTGGAGAAGCGGGAGTGGATGCATCTGGCTGGCATCTGGCTGCTCTGGCAATCCACCATGAGGACGCATCCACTCCCGCTTCTCCACGCCCTTTCCTCTCGAGGCGCTTTCTCCGTTACCCTTTCTTGACGATCCTAGGAGGGTCGACTCCCCTGTGTCCCGACTGGGACGATGTGTGCCCATGGTGGATCGTCAGGGCGTCTGTCTCTAAATCTGAGAATCCGTGGTTCGACCCCGCCTGCAGTCACTCTTTTGTTCTTTTTCAAAAAAACAATTTCATTTCATTTCAACAATTTCATTTCATTTAATTTCATAAAAGTATTTGTTTCATTTCATAAGCTGAATGACGCCTTTCCTAGAGTCAATAACAGGGTCAATAACGAGCGAAGCTTTTAGCGTTTTGATGAAAAAAAAGGGGTAAAAAAGAGCCACCAAAACATATGTCACTTTTTTTGACTCATAATATCCATCCATTTCCTCTTTTGAAAATATTCTATGTTTAGAAAAATGAAATGGTTCAGCTTTCAGTTTTAAAATCTTTATCTCAAATTTGACGAGTAATTTCGATAAAAACGATAAGTACGTTTTAAAAAAATTTTTAATTCTCTGACTTTCTACAAATTTTTTTTGGCTAATTTTAAAAGTTTAAAAGTCAGCTCCGAGCCAAACTGATATTTTAGTTACTATTGTTATTATTGAATGATTTGTCTATTCTTGTGCAAATGTGTCCTCCCCTGTGCTTATCCCTTTTATTGCCGAGAAGGGGCAGTGCTTGGGATTGCCTAGGAGGACAAGTGGACTCAAATGGGACAAGAGACTCTCATTTGGAGTCCCCCCTTCCCCCTATTTGTAATCTATTCGTCTTATTATATTACTGTAAATAAAGATACATATCTTCCGGGTCTATGCAACTGCAGTTCAGGTCGGTCATTTCACAGGGACTCCCCTCTAATACGTTGGAGGAGTTGAGTTGGGTTGTCGGGGTGTTAGAGATGGCGCCCCATGGCGGGATATCAAAAGGGATCCACTCTCTTTAACTTAACCCAAACTCTAGTCCACATCCGTTTATACCTAGGAACGAATATGCTCAAATAATTTCTTTCAAACATGAATCACTATCGTTATTTTGCTCTCATTATCATTAAATAGTTTTTTTTTTTTGCAGTCTCCAGGGATTGTCTGGTTGTAGAAAATATAATGGTAAGTAATAATAACCACTAGAAAGTTTAATAAACAATCTAAACCTAGTAAAATTTGGGGAAAATCTGCCGCCATCTATCTTAGTCAATCCCGGCTAGATTATTACCGTAAATACTGTAATAGTACCCCACCCCCATAATGACGGTGCGGAGTGTTGCGTAGTCCAGCTTTGAACGAGTTTTTCTCGACACTGGTTTATGCTACAATGTGCGCTTAGGTATCAAAAAATAGCTGAAATTCAGGGCTATTTTTTGATACCAAACGAGCATGCATAACCAGTGTCACGTTCGCTCAACACTCCCACTCTATCTTTGATAAATAGCCCTGTTTCAGTATTTTTGAAAGTACGGGCGCTTTGGAAAAAAATGAAATACTAAAAAACTTTTGTGACTTACGACTGTACGAGGGAATTCTTTATTGAGTGGGAATAAATATATTTTAAATAGAAAAACATGACATTCTAATGGGGAAAATGAAGGCCTAAAGATTTGAAAAGTCTCAAAATCATTGAAAACAAAAAAACGTGTAGAGTTTGACACGAATCCAGTCTAAAATCCCCAAGTTGTGACTCAAGGTTTTCGACCAAGCCAATTCTATTAGGTTGATGCAAAAGTCTTTTTCATTTTTTTCGTACTTCCGTTAAAAAGTAACAAATGCACCAATTGAACAACGGTTTATTGCATTCGAAAGGCCAATTATTTTTCTGCAAAATGACATTAAAACGAGTTTAAAATGTCTTATGTCTAGATTTTTTTGAGAGCCTGAAGTCGGGGTCAAAAAGGCGACGGCTCGAGATGCATTTTAGACGCTTTAGCTAAGGAAATCAATCTTGATGTTAATAAATAAAAGATAGAGCACAAAAAGTTAGATATTTTTTCAGATTTTCAGAAAAATTGATTCAGCCAATTTCTTTATAGAGGTTTTTATAGATTTTTATGAAAAACCCGTTTTCACTCTCGAATTTGCTTGAAAGTGAACCCAAATTGACTTAAAAAGGTGGGAAATTGGACAATAAACACTTTTCATTTAGAGCAAACCATAGGTTAATTGATGACTTTGTTATTTTTCAAAAGAAGTACGAAAAAAATGAAACTTTGATCAACCTAATAGTTCTCCAATTGGGAAGAGCTCAAAAATTGGATCTCTCCTTTCAATCATAAGGTCATCAGAGATCTTTTCGAGCTTTTCTTTCGAGTTTTCCCTCATTTTCTTTTCTTTTCCCTTCTCTCTTTGCTTCTGATAATCGAATTGTTTCCGTTTTTTTTCTGGCTTACTCAAAAGCAAGAATGTTTCTGTGAATCTATTCAGCTTCTTCGAGTGTATTGATTTGTGTTTTTTTTTTAAAATTCATCTTCGATAACCTTCGATAACTTCGATAACCCTGAGATTTCTGTGTTTGCAATTTTCCATTTCGTTTAACTTATCGAATAACTTGTTTCCTTTGATTTGTGCTTTGATCTGTTCGAAGTGTGCTCAAATTCAGGAATCCTCATCTCCGTTAGAAAATTGTGCTCTTCTCCGAAAGAGCACAATTTTCTAACGTGTTCATGAATAAATTAAAGTGATGAATGATTCTTTTTCATCGAAAATCGAATTGCAAATTGGAAGGCGCTAAAACTTTGAAACACGGTTTCATTGAGACTTCACCCTCGGGGATTTTTGTCTTTGTCAGTGTTGCTTTGTCAGTGTTGCTTTGTCAGGGTTGCTTTGTCAATGCTTTGTCAGTGTTGGAACCAGTTTTCATTGAACAGATCAAACATTGACGATTAGCTGATCATCGTTTTCCTGTACTATCTACTATATATCAAAGAGCAGCGTCTATCCGTCCGTCCATCTGTACGGGCTTTTTCTCCGCCATTTTTTCACCAATAAAGCTAAAACTTTTTTAGAAAACCTTAGAATAGATTTTAGCTGTGCATTTCATTAAAAAAATCTAAGAATTTAAAATCGAGCGTCAGTCGGGGCGGTCGAACCCGGGTGATGTGAGCAGTCCCGGACCGTCCAGACACGCCCACTCCCGACTGCGCTACGTTGACATAGTTGAAGGGCTAGAAAAACCCGCCTTTAGGTAGCCTTTAGCCAAACGGATCTTTTAAACAGTCTATTTTTTGTTGCAATTTTCTCTCGAATTTCCGTCACCTTTTTTTCCATTCCATTTCCAAATCGTTTCGATTTCCATTCTTGAATGGTTTCCATTCCGTTCTTGTCTGTGCAGCCGATGAAATGAAATTCGTTCGGTGAAGGATATCCACTCATCCATTTTCTTCCCATTTCTTCCCATCTCCTGCCCATTTCCGGCAAGAATTTTTCCGCTTCAATTTCCCATTGAATTGAAATTGTTATTTTTTAAAATGTCTACATCTCTAAAATCTCCTTTTCCTTTATAAATGAGAATTCATTTTTTTTTCTATTCTGTCTATCAGTGAGAGACAAATTGTGATCATCAGGATGTGATGAATTCATCAAGAATTCATCAAGAATTTCCATCAGATGTCAGATCTTTGAGAACATTCTTTGGCCTTTGAGAACATTCCCCGCTTTCCCTTTAATACTTGTATTTCTTTGTAATTAGTATTTAAAAGGAAATCAAAAAAAAATGTAAAGGCGAAAAGGCGAAAAACTATTCAATTAACGCGATGATGATCGAATTTCGCTCTTTTTTTTCGGCAATTGATTCCCACCGGGATTTTGTTTCCGTTCTCTAAAAATTTGTGGCTACAAAATGCCTAATTTCCTAAAAGAATTTGTGGCTACAAAGCTCCTAATTTTCTAAATTTCAAACCAATTCTCCTGCTTTTCTATTTTTTTCACTACAAAATCGAGAATTTACAAGAAACAATGATTTTGTAGTGAAGATGATGATGAAATTGATAAAGGTTTTAAACGAAAAGTACGAAGGGGAGATTGGAGGGGAGATTGGGGAAAAGCTTTCCCTTCTAGTTTTCCCCTTCTAGTTTTCCCCTTCTAGTTTTCCCTTCTAGTTTTCCCTTCTAGTTTTCCCCTTCTAGTTTTCCCCTTCTAGTTTTCCCATTTCAACTTTGCTTTTTTCAAAAAGTTACTGTTAAATTAGACTTTTAAACCTTTTCTCTTCCAAATCCTGTTAGTTTTTAGGGAAATTTTGGTTTTTACTCGAATTAGTCCTCCGACTACAATGACATTTCGAAGTTTCAACTATTTTTCGGATCCCGGGAATAAAATGAACCCGGAAAAGTCACAAGTCGAATCTTTTTGTTTCAAAGTTTCACTCAAATCGATTTCCATTCTTGTCTGTCCCGCCTGGTCTGTCCAGCCGATGAAATGAAATTCGTTCGGTGAAGGATATCCACTCATCCATTTTCTTCCCATCTTCTGATCAAATGCAAACCATTTAGTGAGATTATTTCTAAAAACCCTATTTATAACTGGATTTCCTTCAAAACACCTCAGTTCTGATTCAGATCAAATTTCGTTTCTCAAAGTTTTCCCTTCTAGTTTTCCATGTTTTAGTTTTGCCATTTCAACTTTTCTTTATTCAAATTACTCAAAGAATTTTCCAGATTGATTCTCCAAAATGGATCCAAAAGTAATCAACGTGACGAACATTGAGCCGACCGAGGCAAAAGTTCTCGATCTCGAAGAAGATTGTAAATATTGGGTGAGTTAAAAAGAAACAATCAATTTCAACAATCAATTTCAACAATCAATTTCAACAATCAATTTCCCCATCTCATAATCAATTTTCTCATTCATTTTTCAATGTCAGATGTTGATTAATATAATAATTAATACAACAATCTTTTCCGAAAAGTTTTTTTTGCGAGTTTTTCAATAAGAAAATCTGTAATCAGTTTTCGGCGCTCAAAAAAAAAATTTTTGGAAAGGAAATCGAAAGCTAATCAAATTTCGGGACAAGATTTTGAGTTGGGGTTTTTAAGTTCAACCAATGAACTTAAATATTGGTTTTTACTCGAATTAGTCGGGGAACTACAATGACATTCGGAAATTTCAACTATTTTTCGGATCTCGGGGATATTAAAGTTTCAAATTTAGAGGATACTAGAGAAGAATTTGGTACCGTATTTTCTGTAATAGTAATGTAGTCTGTAATAGTAATGTAGTCTGTAATAGTAATGCGGTCTGTAATAGTAGTGCAGGCTGGAGGGGGGTTGAAAAAATAGTAGCGCGCAGTACTATTACAGAAAATACGGTATTCAGTTTGTTCTGAATTCAGAAAAGAAACTAAAGAAAAGTTATTCAGGGAACGGATTACATTGAGGGAAAAATCTGGTTGATCGGTTTCTTCGGCACATCACTCGCGCTGGCGTCGATCATTTTGAACACATTTCTTTGCGTCGTCTACTTTCACACTCCATCACTACGAAAGTGAGAGAAATTTTGAAATAATGTCGAAAAGGTGGAAGCATGTGAATAGATATATTAGCTAGGTGTGCCAAATGGAGAGCGATTATGTGGCCGCACAAAGAACGCAATTTACCTTTCAGCTGCCCAGCTTTCAACCAATTTCGATTTCAGATCAGCTGTTCTGTATTTCGGGGTGATCGCCATTGTCGACATCCTACTCGGCTTCAACTATATCGCCGCGATGAGCGTTCCCGTAAGCTTTCCCATAATTAAAAGCTTAAAAATCGTTTTATTCTAGTAATCGCTGAGTTATCGTAGAATAATTCCCAGGAATAACCAAAAAAATGTAAAAGCAATCTTTCGAAATATACAACCTTTAAGCCTAAGCCTAATCAATTTAACCTAGTCGTTTGGGCCTAATTCAACATCCAGTCGGGCATGTATGGGCTTAGGCTTGGGCTTAAAGGCTTAGGCTTAAAGGCTTAGGCAAAAAGATATTTCATATCTGGTTTACAGAGTGCTGGGATTCCTAGCCAAAATACAGCCAAATTTGGGGCAAGAATTAGAAATTCGAGCATAGGCTGGGAAGGGCCAAGGGTCGGATCAGTCACTCACCGCTTCTTTTTTTCAAATCCCAAAAGGGAGTACCTATCTATTAGCTAGGTGTGCCAGATGGAGAGCGATTACGCCGCCGCACAAAGAACACCTCGCCAGTCATTTACACGCGATTCCTCTTTTGCTTTGTATATGGCTCGAAAAAAGATATTCAGCTGTAAATTTGTACTCGAGGGTTTTCAGGGTCGGGGAATCGATTGGAGACATTCATTTTATTGTGTTTATCAATTAGAAATCGGGTTTATTAGGCTCCTTTGAGAACTTTTTCTACTGAATCCATGTATTGGGTTGGTGGAAAAGTGCTTTCGGATTTTTTGGGAGAGTACCTTAAATTTGTCTAATTTTGACGTTTTATAGCTCGTCCTAAAGCTGAATTCAAGACGGATCGATTGGTAAAAACCGTTTTGAGATATCTCTTTTCTAAAAGTTTTTACAGTTATTTTAGTAAAGGGCGGCAGAGGCAAAAAATGGCTGTTTTCACGTTTCGTTAGTTTTCCGTGCAGAAACCTAGGCTAAAACCATGTGTTTCGTGATCAGCGTCAAAAATAACCCCTAGACACGCATTTTCAGAATCTTAGCATAAAATTTTTGAAAAATATTGTCACCGGTGGAAGTCGAACCAGCGACCCTCAGATCAATAGCCTTTCCGCCGCTTTTCGCGATTTTCCTTCCTTTTTCCCCTTTTTTTTGTTTTATCACTTTTTTGATGTTGTTAGAAGGCTTTTTTTCAAAAAACGAGAAAAACGAAGGAAAATCGCGAAAGGCTATTGATCTGAGGGTGGCTGGTTCGACTTCCACCGGTGACAATATTTTTCAAAAATTTTATGCTAAGATTCTGAAAATGCGTGTCTAGGGGTTATTTTTGACGCTGATCACGAAACACACGTTTTTAGCCTAGATTTCTGCACGGAAAACTAACGAAACGTGAAAACAGCCATTTTTTGCCTCTGCCGCCCTTTACTAAAATAACTGTAAAAACTTTTAGAAAAGAGATATCTCAAAACGGTTTTTACCAATCGATCCGTCTTGAATTCAGCTTTAGGACGAGCTATAAAACGTCAAAATTAGACAAATTTAAGGTACTCTCCCAAAAAATCGGAAAGGACTTTTCCACCAACCCAATAGATGGCAGAAAAAGAAGGTTATTCAGCGATTAGCTCTAATAGTAAATGCCGCGCTCTATCAAATACAGTAATTTTGAATATTACAGTAAACTATTTCACCTTTAGTTCCATCTGTAAACTGAAATAACTACAGTATACTGGGATAACTACAGTATAAATAGGCTTTTTTGGTAAAAAAATGTGTCAGTCCTAAATGTGTCAGCCTAAGCCTAAGCCTTAGCAAACAAGAGTTGTTGCTAACAACTCTTGTTTTCTAAAACATGGAACTGACTTGTTTCTTTACAAAAAGCCCATTTCTAAGCTACAGTAACCTATATCTAAGCCTATATCTAAGCTACAGACTTTCCTCTTTCAGGTGATCTTTGACCGTTACCACCTTCTCTGGTTATATCATCTTTTTCTCTCTTGCGTGAATTTTGTAATCTGTGAATCGAATTGTGCCATTTTCTCCTCATCGCTTCTCATCATTTTGGCGACAACCGAGCGTTTATTGAGGACATTTCAAGTCAAAACATCGACAGCATTAAGAAGGTATTTCATTTTGAAAGATTTGAAAAATGCGAAGTTTAGAATAAGGTTTTAAATTGAAATAAGCTTTAAGCATTCAGTTAATCATTAAATCAGCTCTAAGCATTCAGTTAATCATTGAATAAGCTTTAAGCATTAAGCTAATCATTGAATCAGCTTTAAGCCTTTAGTTAATCATTGAATCAGCTTTAAGCATTAAGGTAATCATCGAATAATCTCTAAGCCTTTAGTTAATCATTCAATCAGCTTTAAGCATTAAGTTAATCATTCAATCAGCTTTAAGCATCAAGCTAATCATTGAATAAGCTCTAAGCATTAAGGTAATCATTAAATCAGCTTTAAGCATTAAGGTAATCATTGAATCAATCACTAGTGAATGATTGATTCAATTTAAACAACTTTACAAACTTTACACTTACTTCTAAACAAATTACAAAGTGAAAAATGAAGGGGTTTTTTACAAAAAATGAAGTATTACTTATATGTTTTGAATGAAAATAATCAACATTTTTCAATTCTAAAGCACTGACCCGGAAAGAGATGAAGAAACGCAATTGAGCGTTACTTCGAGGTGAGTAAAAACGAGAATTAGAAAAGCCGCCAAAGGGAAATCCCGTTTTTTGAATTTGTGACATCTCTCTATCTATCTTCTGCTCGAATAGAAGCACCGAGTTTATTGGGAACAAAATAAAACAATAAAAAAATGGTACTATCCGGTTGTATTACCAGATAAAGAAATGCATCAAGGATATTGTAAGACAAAAAAAACTAGATCATGCTCGAGATCTAGATCACTAGTGTGTACTAGACATGAGGACCGGGTTAGCTTTTGTCGGACCGGGTTAGCTTTTGTCGAACCGGGTTAGCTTTTGTCGGATCGGGTTAGCTTTCGGACCGGGTTAGCTTTTGTCGGATCGGGTTAGCTTTTGTCGGACCGGGTTAGCTTTCGGATCGGGTTAGCTTTTGTCGGATCGGGTCAGGTCGGGCCAACCCGAAAATCGGGAGTGTTCTGGTGGGGTCGGGTTTGATCGTTTCAATCGATCGATCGTTTGTGAATGCCTTGCTTTTTCGTTCCTTTACACTTTTAGGTCAAAGCCATTAAGTAACAGATTGTTAGGTACAAATTTGAGTATGAAATGTGAGAAAGAAAGCTGATCAAAACAGCGGTCAACCGATCGGATCGGGTCAGACTAACTTGATTTTGATCCGACCCGATTTCCTATGTCTGGTGTGTACTAGACATGGGAAAATTCCTAATTCCACCTTTGTTTTCTTGACTGAAATCTTTTCTACAGATATAAATGAACATTTTCAGCTTGTAGACAAAATTTCAGATGAATCAAAAAAAGAAACGGTCGAGAAAACAACGGTGGGATTAGGTTCGGATTGGAATTTTCCCATGTCCATGTGTACCTACTTGAAATTGGTACGAATTGGATTGAATTGAATTGGATTGGATTGAATTCGATTGAATTCGATTGATTGAATTCGATTCCTAGTGATCCGATCTGACAGGCCCGATCAATCCGATAGCCGGATAGTCGGATAGATGTGTACGTACTTGAAATTGGTACAGATTGGATTGAATTCGATTCCTAGTGATCCGATCTGATAGGCCCGATCAATCCGATAGCCGGATAGTCCATTTTTCCTCAAAAACAAATCAATAAATTCGGTGCGAATCTAACATAAAAACTAGAAACTTTGCGTGGCTTCATGTGTTGTGTTTTTTTTTTTAGAATACAAGTGGTTTCTTCTTATGAATACAAGTGGTTTCTTCTCTGAAAATGTTTCATTTTAAAAAGAAATTCCCAAGTTTTCAGATTCGTTGAAAAGAACCGAGTTTTCTTGTGCTTGATGTGCATCATCGTTTCAATTGGATACAAGCTATCCACATATTTCGAGATTGAAGTAGTGGAGAAAGGGGATTGTCCCGTTGAATGGTTTGGGTGAGTGAAGGCTTTTATATTGGGTACTTTGTGCTCAACTCTGTAGACACCTTCCATCTAGCAGACTTATCTCTGTAAACACATCCCTTCTGGCATTCTTGATGCTTTATTTTTCTCAAAAGAATGCTTTGACTGTGAGAAAACGTGAAAACGATGATTTAAATTCTCCAAAAAAAAATCTGTTTCTATTTTGAGCACAAAAAAAAAATAACATTAAATGCTTTTGTCTGAAAATTTTAAAGAATTCTTAGTTATTCGTTAAAAGAATTTTCTCGGAACTAATTTCCCAGCTACCTAATCAAATTTTTCGCTGAGAAACGCTCGTTTATGAAACTTGTGAATGAGTTAAGGGAAGTTGAAGAATTGCGGGCTTTGTAAGACAGACTAGACTCTACATTTTTCACAGATTAATAAACACCGTAAATACTCTAGAAAATCACCGCCACAATGACGGGTGTACAGTCGCGTAGCTTAACTTTGAACGTCCCATTCTCCGTAGACTTGCCTATCGATATATCGATATTTTTGGAGTAGTCGAGCAAAAAAATCTTGCAACTTTGCACAAAACTACTCAAATGCTCTGGAACTTTTACCATTGGAAAGCCAAAAGTTCAAGCTTCATTTGGTACCTAATACTTCGAAGTGGACGCAAAATGCAGCTCTAAAAACCTAATCGATTAGCTATCGATATGACTTTATCGATAATCGATATAATCGTATCGATAGCGTATCAATAAGGTTTTTTTAAGATGTGTTGTTTTTCTAAAAGTACCTATTAGATATCAAAATGAAGCTTGACCTTTTGGCTTTCCATTGGTAAAAGTTTCAGAGCATTTGGAGCTACAAACATAAAGATATGTCCATTTTAATGCGTGCACTCAAAAATATCGATAGCCAATTCTAGTTCTCCGCGCTGCTTTATATTACAGTGTAAAATTATAGCCCTTGAAATCTAGTATTTACCAAAAGTGTAGTTGGGAAAAATCTAGGAGCTGAGGAAAAAAAATTTTTCTATAAAGAAGTTAAACTACGCGCCTGTACAAGGGAGTATATTAGAGTATTTACGGTAAATATTTCAAAGATACTGCAACAAACAGCTCCAATCTCCAATCTTTCAGCCGTTTCGAGATCAAAACCTCCGAATTCGTGAACAACAGCCCATCGTATCGTTTCTTTTGGATGTTTCTCACGAAATTCATCATCGATCGCATTTTGCCATTCGTTTTGTTGCTGTTGATGAATTTCAAGATTATTGCGGTAAATTTATAGGGTTTAAAAAAAAAAGAGAAATCTTTAGGCTCTAAAACTACAACTAAAGCTCTAAAACTTTAGGCTCTAAAACAACAAACATTTGTCCCGAAGAAAGCTCTCTTTGCGCCAAATGCCTCAATTAAATGCAATCGACAGAATATTCGGGTAAATTGGAAATGGAATTTGAGAAGAAAAGAAAATTTAGGATGCTACCCGAACGCTGATCTTGATGGTTTCAATGCACATCATTTCACAAACTCCACAGGTAAACAATAAAAATAGCCAAATAGCCTGATTTGTAAAATCTTTCATGAGACTTTGCTCACCCTTAAAATGACAATGGCAATTCTTTTTAGGTGATTCTGAGCATTTGGGAGTTCACGGATCCAAATCGCGAGCAATTGGAGGGCGAAGAATTGAAAGAGTTCTACTCGTATGCGAATGACATCATACCGATTGTCACGCTGTTGATGAGGTAAAAGCAATTCGATCGTCACACAGATAAAGCCGAAAGTTCCATAAAATATTTCCTTAAGCTAGACGATCAGAACTTTGAACTCTTGTTGCTTTTCAAAAAAAGTTTTCACATCAATTCCCTAGGGTTATCAAATCGAAAAATGGTGTCAAAATTTGAGGTTCAATCGTCGAATTGTTCTATTTTTGTTTGAGGGTTCAAAAAGTTCACATCTCAAGAAAAAATGGGCTTGGGGAAAAGTCTTAAGCATAGTATTTGCATGTCAGATAATTAATTTCAGTTTACCCCCAAGAAATCCCCTCTAAACAAATCCCGGATTGTTTCAGTTGTTTGCGATTCCCGGTTTACCTCGCAAACAATCGACAAATCAACGAGGCCTCATGGGGAACTCTTCGAGATCTTTGCCAACCATTGTGTGCAAAGAGAAAACCTCAAGACTATCATCCGATCAAACAACCACCCACCGCCAGTCTCACCAATGGAAAAGGTGAGAAAAGACTCTGAAAAGAGCAAAACATTACGATAAAGTCGCAGCACTCAAAAAAATTTAGTTCTCATTGTAGCTAAGCCTCTACATGTTAATTTTCCCGTAAACTAAAGAAAGTTCCAGGCTCCGTCGATTTGAGCAGGATGGAGAAACGAATCGAAGTGTTTGCAAATGGAAACAAAATCGTGAGCGGCCCGACAACCGAATCGGCAATCACCGAAACCACTTCGAACCAATCAGCCACCCATGACTACCACCTCAATGAATACATTTTATAATCAATAGCCATCTTAAGCCATACTTTACGTGCTGATCAGTTTAAATGTTGCAATATAATTTGTGCTTCTCAGGAATCGTTTACACGCGAACTGTATTTGAAATTTCCATTTTGTGATTTTTACGGGTTCTTCGGAGTGTTCTTAATAAATTTTAACATGAAAATAATAAATTAACAATCAGAAAATTAAATTAAATAGGTAACAAAAATATACATACACGTACATTAAATTGTTTCGAGATCATCGATTTCATGCTTGTAGACTTTCTTCGGCACAAATGGCTCCCATCGACTCGCTGAAAAATGTACGCATTAGTAAAAAGTAAGTAAACAAACAAACAAACAACAAGATAATGAATAATAACCCTAACACACGCAAAACTGATATCACACAACAATTATCACAGAAAGTGACACAATCACAAAAATATGCACGCACAGAAACAGATAGTCAACAAGAAGCTGTTTTCTATCCGGTGCATCTTCGGATCGGGGACGTAGCTCGAGATCAGAAATAAAAAACCGATCGATCCATGACGATTGGCAGCTCCAAAAAACGACAGAGTAGTTCATCGTCAAGAAACAAATAAACACCTAGCCTTCCTAGAAAAACCTAGACTATTCATAGAATCCGATATCAAAACGATGCATTAATTGCCACGCAATAAAAGAGTCAGTTAAAAGCATTTATTGACACATAAAAGATTAGACAACGGACATACAGCATAGAACATAAAACAGACGTTGTGCATGTGCTAGTCAAAAATAAAAATCGTAGTACCTGGGTAGATATGCTTGTTTTTCTCGTACCAACTCCTTAGCACAACCTAAACAAAAGCAATTAAACTTAAAAATTCATTATACATCAACTGAAAGTAGCTATTTTTTTCACCTGCGTTAATGTCTTTAAACAGAATACCTTAGCTGGATGGCTTTCCATTGCATCGGGATCTTGTCTGATTCGAATATCCGCAGATGCATCAAATTGCCATAAAGGGCCTGTCTTTCCCATCGCTTTTGTCACAATAAAATCTTGGAATCTAAAACTTGCTAATATTAACCGACAAATAAAACCCTACGTGTAGTGCTGTGGAATTATCAAATCTTCTTTGATAAACATCATATTCTCCGGTGTGCACGTCCTTAGCTCGGAGAATTCTTTCTTGAAGCACTAGAAACAGAATAGTTTAGTCGGTTTATTAACAAAACGCAAACAACCTCTATTGCTTTAATCAAGAACTGGCTTATCGTGTGTCCTTTCTTCATTTTTGTACTTTTTCGGTGACTGCTTCCATCCCAATAAGCAAAGGCAACCTGAGATATAACTACCATTACTTCAAAATTTCAAGTTCTTTTTTAAAGAAAATTCCAACAAACCGTAATTTCCTCGTTCTTTTCAAGTTCTTGCTGCGCCTGCCATTCCCTCGCTAGGTCTTCTTTTCGCCTAAAGTTAAAATTAAGTAAGTCTTCACATTTAAAATAACTACTTTTCAAGTGCAAGTTCTCGCTCTCGATCGGGTAAAAATGACGTATCAACTGAGGGATCCATACCAAGTCGCTAAATAAAAAGCTTTTAAGAAAAAATGTTATGCTACCTTCTTTGGAATAAACACTTCTTCCTCTTCCTCATCATCGTCACCAGCAAATGAGAGAATGCGCTTCTAAAATCTGTTATTCATCAAACATTAGTGCTTTGTAAATAAACCTGAGCAACCTCCTCCTTGGATTCTTTGATATCTTCTTTCGATTTGCCCTTCTTCTTTGATTCGCTCAAACTTTTGACGACTTCAGCTTCTCTGAATAGAACAAAATTCTGATTTTACTGTTAAGTACATTCCTACCTGTGAACAACGGCATCTTTCTGCGATTCTTTCATTTGACTGAGCGTCACCAATCCCACCGTCTTCGTTCGAATTTCGTGTTCGACGGCAGAAACGTTGACGGTGAACTTGTCAGTGATTCCCGCAGCCGCTAAATTGAAAATTATTAAAAAAATTACCATATTGTTTTTATAGGTTTGTGCAACACTACTACTATTTCAAAAAGATGAAACTATATTAAAACTAAACCTCGTGCTCGATCCTCTTCAATCTTTTTTCTTTGCTTCTCCGCATCTTCTTTGGCTCGCTCTCGGGCTTTGTTCAAATGAATTATTCGGCCACTGTCTGCGCGTGACATCTGAACACTTTATACAATTTTCCTAATCGCCACTAATCGAAAAACTAACACAAAGTTCAAGGAATCTTTAAACGGAAAATAAATAAATGATAGATTATGTGTAATACTCGAGAGGAGACACAATTTGATAACAATAAACCATCGTGAAAAAGCATAATCCAATCAATAAAAAAAACATTACAATGAACGGATAAACTTTGCGAATCGTTCTTGAATCTTTGGCAACAACGAGACATGTTCATCGGCGCACTTTGCCACACAGCGATCAAGACGCTCATTGAATTCCTGAGTCTGTCGTTCAGTGTATTTTGAGGTATCCGGTCCAAATTGCTTCGTCAGATCATCGTAACAGCTCATGGCGCATCGCGATAATTGTGCTTGAAGAGTTCCCAGCTCCATCTCGAGTTGCCCTTGAGCTTTTCGCATCCCTCCGTTGCAAGTGTCCACGCAATTCTCTATCACTTCCCTCGATGAGTGCTGATTCGAGCAGCATTTTGCGGAGCATTCAAACATCCGTTTTTGCATTTCGCGAAGATGTTTCTTGTCGATCTCATCTAAAATTCGCAAATAAACTAGAGTAGCATATTTTAATGAAACGTAAGTTGAAAAAAACTAACCCATCATTGAATCCACTGCTCTTTTGACTTTTTGCTGTGTTTCCTCCATTCTAAATCAGTTCCCGTAAATAATCGCAATCGAAAATTTAGCAGAAGATACAAGTCTTAGCATTGAATCATTAAAATGCACGTATTGATTTTAGCTAACGCTTTCATCTTTCCTTGACCACATGCAGTGTTGTATTTGAAACAGATAAATTGTTCGACATTACAACCGCTTCTTCGGTGACTTTGTTAGCTGCATTTACTCATAAAGAAATAGTATAACAATTTTATTTCATAAACACAACAAAGAAAATATTTAAATTTAGTAAGCTGGTTGTGGTGCGCCTTGCGGAGGTGGGACCAATTCTTTCTTTTCTTGCTTGTGCTCGGAGTGTGGTCCAACTGGGTTCTCCTCCTCGGGGCAATCCTTGATGTGAACGTGATCGGGAAGAGCAACACGAGGTCCAAGTTGTCCGCGAGGATCATGAGGCAACATGATCTTGACTTTGATTCCAAGCACACCTAAAACAAAAGATATTAAAAGAAGCAAATGTGCATTTAGACTTTTTGGGCTAATTAATAACTCGAACACACCTTGACGCAAGTTGACGTGTCGGACAGCAGTTTGGATGTAATCGTTGACTGGATTTCCAGAGTGAATCATGTTACCATCAACGAATTTCATAGCCTTAGCACGCTGTCCTCGAATTTTTCCTGAGACGATCACCTAAAATAAAAAATAACTCTCTTAAGTCTTAATCCACAATTTTGTGTAAAAATTTAAGCCAGCATACCTCGCATCCTTGAGCTTGAGATTCCATGATGAATCGAAGAACTCCGTAGCAAGCACGACGAACGGCAAGTCCTCCAACAAGCTTGTATCGGAGAGATTCGCACTGGGCTACAGCACACAATCCACGGTTGTTGACCTTCTCGGCGTACAGCTAAGAAAATATTTTTTTGCTTTTATACTGCCAGCTGTTCAGACCGAAAAGTATTTTCATTCACTCAGTCTTCTTCAAAAAATTTACCTCAACGGATCCATCCTCAAAACCGAAACGTTTTTGAACAACTGAGGTGAGCTCTTTAATGCGACGTCCGCGTTCTCCAAGAACCGATTGAGTGCGGGTGGCCATGATGATAACTTCGGCACGGCTTGGGGTTCGTCGAACCTAAAAACGCAATTTCTTTTTGATTGTATCTAATAATTGTTGCTGGACTATGCTCTAACAACGCTGTCACGAGATACTAAAGATAAAATTTTAAAATATTAACAGAATCATAATGTTGCGGTAAATATTCTGGCAATAACTTCTCAATGCACCAAGTCGAAGTCGACATCGTTACCAAGCTAGTTTTTTGCTTTGCTCTAAGCATAAACCCCTTACTTCAACTCCAGAGTATCCATCCTCGGCGAGTTCCTTCATCAAGAAGTTGTTGAGCTCGGCCTTGAAGCATCCATCGGACACGGCCTTCTTCTTTCTCGATGCTTGTTGAACAAGTTCGTTTGCCATATTGTCCCACGTTCAAGTGATCTAAAGTGTAAAAACATTAAAAAGATCAAACAAAGATAAAATAGTGGAAATTGAAAGCGGTGAGAAAGTTAGTCAATTTTTGCGCGTTGTTGGACCAAAGAAGTGCATCTCTACAAACTTAAATGGCTCAAGGATAGTTTTTCAAGTAATAAGAACCGTCCTACGACAAACAAACGCACGAAAACAAAAATTTAACCGTGTTTTCCAATAAAGCGGATTGAAAAATGAAAAAATTCTCCCTTTCTGAAAATAAATTCGCCACCGTCTTTTGTGCGCCATACCGTGGTTTGTATCGCTGCGTAGCGCACTTTCGGCCGAATGACTGAATATCTTTTAATGGTAGCAAGAGAAAACATATTTGCAAAGTTGCCGCAAAGCAAAACTTGCAAAATTTTGTTTGATCGGTAAAAAGATAACATCAACGCGTGTAGTACTTGGAGTACAGAAGTTATATTTGGCAAAGCACACAATTTATCTTGCATAAATCTTTAGAAAAATAGATAACAAAACAGGTATTTATTGTCAATATGACCCGTATTTATGATGTCTTTTCTTCCTCCTTTCTTTTAAGCGCCAATAACATTTGATTTCGAGTGCTTCTGAAAGAAAATGGGTGACAACAAAAATTTAGATAGATAAACCTTTGTTATTTTCCTTTAAATTGCTGCACGATTCGCATTTCCAAAGCCGGCGAATCGGAATTTTGCGAGAACAAAAACTAAAACTAATACAGCTAAAAATTCTTACTCTAACTGTAAAAGCTCTTACTTGCATATGGAGATCGTTACGATATGTTTGTTGGAATTGCTTAAGCGAGTCTTGCATCAGCTAAAGAAACATTGTAAAGATAAAATTTAAAATAAAAACCTTTGTGACAAATTCTTGCTCAGAAAACCCATTAGAAACAACTTGTCGCTTAAATAATGTTTCTTTGCAAAAATAAAGAACTCTTACTTTGGCACAATGGTTCGTTTCTGGTTTTGAAGGACCCATCACTGTGCCGTGAAAATCGGCTTCGTTAACTCGGCTAACCTAAAAAAGGTTGCGTTGCGTTTAAATGAATGATCCTGACCATTGTTTTCGAGGCATTTAAGAGCTCAGCATACTCCATAAGTATTGGTTCTTCCTAAACAAATTAAATTAAAAGTTGTTTTTAAAAAGTTTACTGGCAGAGTTTTTATTTCTTCAAGGTTTGGTTTCTTCGGATCATCGTGGCTAATGAGAGATTCGTAAGTAATCGTACCGGTGCTCATCGAGTAAACGTCCTAAACAATAAAAAGTATAAAATATTTAACTGAAAGTTTGTAAAGACACGCCTGCAATTCCAAATCGTAGGTGCGCAGCGTGTTTCCCATCACTTTAATGGCCATTGGCGTTGGGGCTTCGACGGACAACCCCATGGTCGAGCTGGATGATTCCGAACCGTGACTCTAAAACATTCAATCGAATACGGTCATCAATAACTTGAAGCATACAGTTAAAGATTTCGTTAATCTAGAGCCATAGAAACTTGAAAAAGTTACCGATATCTGGCTCGACGTTTCATTCTCGAATTCTTCTTTACCCATCTCTTGCCGCATTCGATTCGACACATTGGCTTGCAAATGCTTCGGAATGTGACTTCCCGGACCCTAGAATAATGGCATAGTACAACGTTTCATTAGTAAATAAGAAAATAATTAAAAAGAACTTAAAAAAACACAAAAAACTTGCCTTCTTCTTGCTTTTATTCCGTCTCATCGTAGTTGCCGTTTTTGCGAAAATGAAAATGACTAACGCTTGGAAATTCTTTATTCAGTTATTAAATGTAAATTGATGATAGTACGTTGTCTAGTACGTAAATTTCCTCCAGCTTTATTAAAGCTGTTTCCCCTGCAAATCGGTTTTGTTTTTTTCAAGAAGCGAACCCGCATCAAATTTTCTATTGTGACGTGTATTTACAGCTGTTTCCTTTGCTTAGAAAAGTGTCACTTTTGATGATTTAATCTCTTTGCAGAAGAAATTTCTCTTGCGAAAGAGATTTCCTGTTTTTCATAGGCCATAAAACGTCTAATACATTAATAGCTCTGAACCCAATTGTTGGATTATCGTATGCTTGACTTTAATACGGTATTACGGTAGCCAAGTCTCTAATACTCTCAGTTCTGAGAGTCTTGAATCTTCTAGAATCTTCTAGAAGAATCGTTTTCTAGAAGTTTCTGGTTTTTCTATTCGGATCTCTTTTCTTTCTTTGATGAGAAATTTGTCTCTCTCTCTCTTCTCTTTCATTTCTGTTTTCTTTTCCCACTCAATGGTGCAAAGAGACCAGTGAGAGATGGCAACTAATTGAGAGCAAATGACTTATGCCCGAATTTATCAAGGAGTAGCTAATCAATTTGATAATTATCTAGATAACAAGTTATTAGAGTTACTATCTAGATAACAGTTATTAGAGTTACAGATAAAAGGCTATTTTACTCCAGTTATCAGGCTAAAACTGGAGTAAAATAGCCTTTTTGATCTGTAATTGAATAAAACATAAAAACCTTATGAAGTTTTGTTTCTCAAAGCTTTTCCAAACTAAAAAAGGTAGTAAATCAATTCAAGGAAATGGTCAAAGATTCAAATCAAAAGATTTGAATTTGGAGATTCAAATCCCGGCTTTGTATTAGTCACATTCTCATTACAATTGGTAAAAAGCATAAGAAGCACTTGAGCTAACACAAGCACTAACACAAGCAAACTAATTCTTTTTCAAAACCCAGACTTTGTTTCAGTTTCAGTTCCGACTCAAAGATCCAATTCCCAAAAACCATAAAATTCAATCGATACAAATCGTTGCTTATCACAAAATCGCCAATATTTTCTTACTCAAAAGAAATATTGTCATTAGGAACTTTCTAGAACGTTCTCCCCATGAAATTCTTTTTCTTTTTTTCTTTTTCTTTTCCACCTCCCCCTTTCTCTACTTTCTATTCCATGGATTCCATTGGTTTCCCCATTTCCATCCAATCGCAATTCTTTGCCACGCCCCCTTTCGAGAAACGTCCGATTCGAAAGTATTTTAGGCCTTATCCATTTTCTTGCATTCGATTCTTTTCGATCCTTCTGGAACCCCCACCTTCCTCACTTCCATTTCATCAACCGTAAGCTTTACCATCGTTTTTGGCTCATCATTTTGATTTTACAGCTTTATAAATTTTTAAATAGGATTAAGGAGACTTTAGATTACTAAAAAGTTCAATGTTAAGCTTTTAGCCGATTGCCAGTTAAAAGCCTTTTAGCCGGTTGTAACAGTCAAATTTTTCTTGATCGTTAAAATCTTAAAAGCTTACATTAGCTGAGGATTTTGAAAAATGAACTTTCTAACAAGATTCCTGATAGGTTGAAAGCATTTTCTTAAAAATTTTTACAGATTAGTGAAATTTAAAAGTTATCTAGGCTTGTAATAATTTTATCCAATAAGCCTGCTTAAGTTGAAAGAAAACTTCTCACTCCGCATTTAGGAAATCTCAATTTCTAGAAGGAGATTATATCGGAACGTAAATAATCCCCTCGTACGCGCAAATGATGGGTTGCCAATAGCAACATCTCGTCTTTTCTCCCAAATCTGTCCCCACTCCTTTTCGCTGTTCATTAATTAATCACAGAATCCTATTTGGTGGATCATTAACCCTGAATATTTAATGGAGTTTTGAGGAATCATTACACGAGCTGAATGAACAAAACAAAACTCACCTATTAGGCATAAACTTTGCGATTAGCTAGATTTGCGAGAAGCAAATCTGCGAGAAGCAAATCTGCGAGAAGCAAATCTGCGAGAAGCAAATCTAGCTACAAGCTTTACATAAAAGCTACGATGCCTTTCAGAATCCTCAGTAGATCAACTAATGTTTTCTATAAGCTCATTTACAGTAATCTAGACATTTCCATTCTTTTTAGATGTCAGACGAGCAAGGAACCGGCGAGACATTCGCCTTCCAGGCTGAGATCGCTCAGTTGATGTCATTGATCATCAACACTTTCTACAGGTGAGACAAAGCGATAACTAAAGTTAAAATATTACAGAATATTTTGAAATATGATATTTCAAAATATTTAACGAATAGCTCAACCAGGGTAACACAATCACAATGCAAAGCTATCTCAAAATCAAATTCAAAATTCCAACATTTTTAGCAACAAGGAAATCTTCTTGCGAGAATTGGTCTCCAACTCGTCCGATGCTCTTGACAAAATCCGTTACCAAGCCCTCACCGAGCCCTCGGAGTTGGACTCGGGCAAAGAGTTGTTCATCAAGATCACCCCAAACAAGGCTGACAAGACGTTGACCATCATGGACACAGGAATCGGAATGACGAAAGCCGATTTGGTGAACAATTTGGGAACAATCGCCAAGTCCGGAACGAAGGCTTTCATGGAAGCTCTTCAGGTAGAACAAAACACTAAGACTTACCCGAACAGCATTAGATTCTAAGATTTTCATAAACTGTACCCATTTCAGGCCGGTGCCGACATCTCAATGATTGGTCAATTTGGAGTCGGTAAGTATTCGTTAAATTTGGAAGCTTGGAAGCTGTTAAAGCAAGAAATGATTGCTTTGTTTGGTTAAAGCAAGATTGGTTCATAAAAGTACGAACCAATCTTTACGAAATTTACGAAAAAACAACAAGAAATACGCTGAAATCACTAAAAAAAGCCTCTAAAAGCCTCTAAAAGCTAAACTAATGAAGAAAGCACTCTTAAACCATTTTTCCCAGAGGATTTCTCTTTTTGTCTTTTCTTGACTGAATATCTTTTCGTTTTCCTGTAAATCAAAAGCTATTCAGTTCTCGAAAAAGGTACCTTTTAATAATTATTAATAATAAATAATTATTTTTCTCTAGGTTTCTACTCGGCTTTCCTCGTCGCCGACAAAGTCGTCGTCACCTCAAAGAATAACGATGATGATTGCCACGTGTGGGAGTCGTCAGCCGGCGGTAGCTTCATCGTCACATCTGTCAACGACCCGGAGTTGACACGAGGAACGAAGATCGTTCTCTACATGAAGGTGGGTGCAGAAATTGGACAATGACTTGAAACTGATTAAAGAATTGACACTTTTAGCAGTTCGGATTAGAAAAACTAAGACAACACAGAGCCAGAACTTGATTAAACCAGCAAATCTTTCTCTAAAGAGTTCAGAGTGAAACATGGCTTAGGCTTGCTTTAGGCTTGCTTTAGAACAGTTCAGAAATCAATAAACGGTTTAAAACTAATTATAAGCTAATAAATAAATAATAAACTAATAAATTTGTGATAAAATAATCGATTTCAGAGTCAAATCAAAAGCAAAATCAAATTTTAATCAACTTAATAAACTAAATAAATTATAGGAAGACCAAACCGAATACTTGGAAGAGCGAAGAATCAAGGAAATTATCAAGAAACACTCGCAATTCATTGGATATCCAATCAAATTGGTCGTCGAGAAAGAGCGCGAGAAAGAGGTTGAAGATGATGAGGCTGAAGAGAAGAAAGATGAGGAAAAGGAGAAGAAGGTAAGGGTTAAGATCGACATCGACAGGGAAGATAAGATCAACAAAAAGTACACTAAATTTAAGTACACTAAATCTTGACAGAAATCTCGTAAATTGTGATAAAGTTAGGGTGTAGCGCTATGTACTCAAGAGCTATGTACTCAAGATAAAGATAAGATACAAGTCAAGATAAGATACAAGATAAAGATAAGATACAAGTCAAGATAAAGTAACTTTTATAGCCAAGATAAACTTCTGAATTCTTTTAGGAAGGCGAGGTTGAGGACGTCGGAGAGGACGAGGACGCCGACAAGAAAGACAAGAAAAAGAAGAAGATCAAGGAGAAATATTTCGAAGATGAGGAGTTGAACAAGACGAAACCAATCTGGACAAGAAATCCGGATGACATCTCAAACGAGGAGTACGCCGAGTTCTACAAGAGTTTGAGCAACGATTGGGAGGACCATTTGGCCGTCAAACATTTCAGGTAGAATGCAAGGGAAATTGGGTGATTTAAGCTTATTTACAAATAAATTCAGATTTCATGACTTGACGGTAACTAGATAAGTTATTACTAGTTGAGATTAGGTTGAAAAGAATCATTGCAAGGTCAATGAGTGACTCGACCATTGAATAAAGCCGAAATAAAGCCGAAATAAAGCCGTAATAAAGCCGTAATAACTAGCCGAAAGTCCGGCTTTTTCTGGCCAGCCGCCTGTGTCGCCGTGGCCTAGTCGGGAGCTATAACCCCTTGACTATAACCCCACAGGAGCCGGGTTCGATCCCCCGTCGTGCCAGCTCGATTTTGGCCTTTCAACTTTTGGCTTAAATGGCATTAAATAGAAATTCATCTAAACAAAAATAATCAAAAAGATAAATTTAATCTAGCGTAAATACTATAATTGGACCCCATGGGGTATTATCCCCTCTAGAGTGGGGTATTATTAGAGGGGAGAGGGGGGGTACTATTAGAGGGGTGAGCTCCAATTACAGTATTTACGGTAATCTATTTCTTAACAAATCACTCATTTCCAGTGTCGAGGGTCAACTCGAGTTCCGCGCTCTCCTCTTCGTCCCCCAACGTGCTCCATTCGATCTTTTCGAGAACAAGAAATCGAAAAACTCCATCAAATTGTACGTCCGCCGTGTGTTCATCATGGAAAACTGTGAAGAGCTGATGCCGGAATATCTCAATTTCGTCAAGGGAGTCGTCGATTCCGAGGTATTAAACTTTTAAAAGAAATTTCTTCAATTCTGATCTTTTAGGATCTCCCATTGAACATCTCTCGTGAAATGCTGCAACAGAGCAAGATCTTGAAGGTGATTCGAAAGAATTTGGTGAAGAAATGCATGGAGCTGTTCGACGAGATCGCTGAAGATAAAGACAACTTCAAGAAATTCTACGAGCAATTTGGAAAGAACATGAAGCTCGGAATCCACGAGGATTCGACAAACAGAAAGAAGTTGGCCGAGTACTTGAGATACGCATCATCGTCGACAGAAGAGGTCACCTCGTTGAAAGATTACGTCTCGAGGATGAAGGTTTGTCTTTAGGGTACTGAAAAGAGGGAACTTTAAGAGCATTGAGTCACAGTATGCCGAATAAAAAGCATTTAATCGGGAATTGGCAGCAGATTACGTGTATCATTCTTGTCATTCTTGAACTTGAATGAGTCAAACTTGAAACTGGTAGTAAGTCATCTTTATCAGTTTTGTTGTAATCGACAGTAGAAGCTAATCGAAACACTAATTAAGATAACAATTACAATTTCTAATTCTAAGCTTTAGGAGAACCAGAACCAAATCTATTACATCACTGGCGAGTCGAGAGACTCAGTCTCTAATTCGGCTTTCGTTGAACGTGTCCGAAATCGTGGCTTCGAAGTGCTCTACATGATTGATCCAATCGATGAGTACTGTGTGCAACAATTGAAAGAATATGATGGAAAGAAATTGGTCTCCGTCACGAAAGAGGGTTTGGAGTTACCAGAGAGTGAGGAGGAGAAGAAGAAGTTCGAGGAGGACAAGGTGAGTGAATGCGGTGGAGTTTGTTGTCGCTGTACAGAACTAAGTACTATAGAAGCTTCTAGAATTCTAGAATTCTAGCAAATCTTACTATCATCAGTTGATTTAAAGGCCATTTCAGGAAAAGGCACCTTTTCTCTTAGCAGAAGTTGTCCTTTTCCTGAACCAGCTATTAGATGAGCTTTCTTTGATTTAAACGCAGCTGCTAGTCTTGCAACTAAACCACTCAAAAACTTTATTAGACCTTTCCAGAAAGTCTTTTCGAATCTTTTCGAATCTTTTCGTTTCTTTTCGTACTTTCGTTGAAAAATGACAAGCTTTCTAACAGAATAACGAATTTTTTGAAATCATTTCAATCATCATCATCAAACCATCATCATCAATCATCATCATCATCAAAATTTCCAGGTGAAATACGAGTCGCTCTGCAAGGTGATCAAGGATATTTTGGAGAAAAAAGTTGAGAAAGTCGTTGTGTCAAATCGTTTGGTGAATTCACCGTGCTGCATCGTCACATCGGAATATGGATGGTCGGCAAATATGGAGAGAATCATGAAGGCACAAGCACTTCGCGAGTTTGTTTTTGATTCGATTAGTTTAGCGTTTAGCGATAGTTTAAGTGTTTTTTCAAATTCATAGTCATATGTGTTCTTTCAGCTCAGCCACAATGGGATACATGGCCGCAAAGAAGCATCTAGAGTTGAACCCCGATCACGCGATCATCAAGTGAGTTGAAAGAAAGTAAGAAAGAAAGAGAAAGAAGGAGAAAGAAGAAAATTGAGACAGTAGTTTTTAAATTATCTAAACTTGATAGAAATCTCATCAAATTAAGCAGTGATTTAGTTGGATTCAAAAAATTTTTGAAAAAATTACTTTGAAAGCACTTATTCCCAAGTTTCAACATGTTTAATAGCTGCTAAAGCTTACCAAAGCGATTCAGAACTCTTCGTGAACGAGTCGAAGCTGATAAGAGCGACAAAACGGTGAAAGATCTCGTTGTTCTCCTTTTCGAGACCGCTCTTCTCTCGTCTGGATTCACTCTTGAGGAACCAGCCTCGCACGCGTCAAGAATCTATCGAATGGTTTGTTGCACAGCATTTAGCTTACGGTTTACATTTCTAGTTTGTGTTACAGGACTGGTTACTAGGTTATTGGGTACTAAGGTATTGGGTGCACGGGTAATACTAGGGTACTGTAGGTGATACTTTAGGAGCAATAGAGTACTCGGGAACTGGGATTATGAGCACTCGAGGCATTGTACTAGGTTTAGGATTACTCAGGCACTAGTGTCTAGGTACTTGGTTACTCAGGTACTTGGTTACTCGGGTACTAGGTTATTTAGTGCTGAGTACTAGGGTAGTTGGTGCTCGAGTTATTGGGTACTTCTTGAGTACTTGGGTACTTCTGTACGTTAGGGGCGCTAGGTACAAGAGTACTCGGGTACTCGAGATTTTAAAAAGCAGGTAATCACTGCCAGAGTATTGAGGTACTCGGGGTATAAACCAGAGTATAAAACTATATAGTACCAACCAATCGAAACCCACATCTTCAGGTGAAACTCGGTTTGGACATTGGCGAGGAAGAGGAGGATCATCAAGTCTCATCCGGCACATCGCAGGAGGTGCCCAAATTGGAGGGAGCCGACGAGGATGCCTCTCGTATGGAGGAAGTTGATTAAATTAATCTTTATCCTTTCTAAATTCTTCCCCACATTTATCCAAATCTTTTTAACAGAATGCCAAAAGATCTCACATTCTCTTCGGTTTTTTTTCTCATTGTTGAAAAGTCCACACTCGAATCTTGCTTTATTGTTGTGTTTGTTGTTTTCTTTTCTTTTTTTTCTGATATCTTTTTCTCAGTCCTCAAGTGTGTATTATAAAAGCTCGGTACTTTTAACGCAATCTAGTGAATAAATAAATTCTGATAGTAAAAGAATATACAAATGAGGGAAAATGATAAATTCAACTCCAGATCGAAGTTGAACACTCTGAGACATAGAATTTTTAACAAACAAACTACAAACATTGTACTGCTGATAAATCGAGTGCTGATTGGAATGATTGAAATTGAAAAACTAGCGTATTTTAAGAATACACCAACTACAGTAGCCGTTTCCCAAAGGTTTCCTTACAAAGTTAAAGGCAAATTTTCAACTCAACTTTCAGCTTAATCAATGAGAAAAACAGATTGTTTCAGTCAATAGTTTTCACTAAATAGATGAATGTTAGAGTCCAATGTGTTAGAGTTACGTAAACTTTTTGAGACTTCGAATGAAGAGTTTGTCAGATTTGAATCTAAAGGGAAGAAAATTGGGAATAAAATCGATTCTACTTTACTTTTCTTGTTGACTTTTTTTTTGACAATGAGCATTCTTTGAATAGAAAATCACCGGAAATGAGTTTGCTTTTTTGGTGTAATAAGCAAGAGTTCAAAAAGAAAAAAACTGATAATTCCTCGTCTCGTCCTCGTTTAATTCCTCGTTTAATTCCTCGTTTAATTCCTCGTCTAATTCCTCGTTTAATTCTTCGTTTAATTCCTCGCTTTTCCCTATAGCAACAACTCGAGAAGAATGCTTCTGATTGAAGAATGAGAGTAACTGAAGAAAGAGATCAAAATAAGAAAGCAAAACAAAACAAAACAAAACAATAAAAAAATGTGTGTCACCGTGTGCATTTTATCTCTTTGTTGTACTGAGAAATGAATAGAAAAGAGGGGAAAAGTTGTCTCAAAAAAAAACAACGAGTAAACTAATGTCAAAGAAATAGAAAAAGTGTAAACCTGGTATAAAATTGAGGAAATTCTTTGGTTTTCCGGAATTCTTGAGCATTTTTTATTTTCATAATCACATTATTAATCTTTTAAAAGGCACAACAAGTTGTGCTTTTCGAAACTCGATTCAAATTTCACCGTTTTTTGGCTGAGATTTGGAAAATCTACTAAATGAGCTGTGTCTCTCTGTCTACTATCCACAATCTACTATTCACAATAGTTCTTATTCTTATCTTATTCTTATCTACTATCTACTAGCATCTAGTTTAGACAAATTACGCTTTCGATCATTTATATTTCATTCAATGAGCTCAATTTTTCAAGTCAATCATTCTTATTCTTATTTATTCAAAATAGCTCTTATTCTTATCTACTATCTATCAAAGATCTATATCTGTCTGTGCGCACTAATCCTTCGCACCCAACGAGCTGTTTCAAAAGTCTTATCGTTTGTTTGACTTCGAATTCCAAGTAGTTGCGAAACTTGTTTTTAAATTTCAAAAAATCAAAGTGCCGACTCAGGGGAAAGTCGAACCCGGATCGTGTTCGCGAGAGACAAATGCAGAGTCTCATTTGTCGTGAGAGACAAATGCGCTCGCACTTTTGAGGAACGAGGAATTCTAAGTCAAAGCTTTTAAAGAGCGGAAAGGAGCTTTTGAGGAGCCGAGCCGCATATGAGCTAAAAGAGTGATAAAAGAGCATGGCCGAGTGGTTAACGCTCACGTCTCTCAAGCGAACGGAAGAGAGAGAGATTCACGGGTTCGACTCCTCTCACCACCAACTCTTTTGCTTTTTGTTCCAAAAATTTTGAAAATTTTCTTTAGAATTTTATTTTGACTTAAAATTTGAAGCGCTTTCAAAAGATTTCCAAAATTCTCACCGTTTCTGGAATGGAGTCGATAAAAGTGGGACAAAGTCGACAATAAATCTGAAATAAATCAAACCGGCAGATTTCTCAAACAGAAGAACACAAATTGATCGAAAGTTTGAACGTTTTTTTTTTGGCGTATCCTTTTCTTTAAGTTTGAAATTCCATCAATCGGCCGACAAAAGCGCAAACTAGACTACCGTATTCTCTCGAATAGTAGTGCAAACCTCCGAGCCGAGATGACTATTTTACGGTTTCCAAGCTTTTGCAGAAGCTCAAAATTCTTAGCGACAATCCGCTATTCCAATTCTTTTCCTGGTCTATCGTTGTAAGAAGATAGAGAAAAATGGCTTCCAAGACTATTGCGCTAAAATGCCATTTTTGAGAGCCAGAATGGCACTTTAGCGCATGGTTCTATTCAATTCTATTTCTCGACTTCTAGGCATCGGATCAATGGTTTGTTATGGTTTGTTTCAAAATAAACCTCATAAAATTTGGCTAGAGAAAAGTATGATTTGTTTGAAGTATTCACCTAGTCGGCTTTGGTAAAAACTATATTTTCTAGAAAATCACCATCGTATGTTTCTCTTATTTGGTCCCATAGGTCATTTTCCATAAAGCTCAAAGCTTTTTGCAAGTGAAAGATCTAATCAATAAGCAAGATAATTTGAAAACTGAATGTTTTTTTCCATATACAAAATAATAGTCATTAGAAAATCACTACTTGAAAAGCTTTTAGATCTTTTAGATCTATGAATTGCCGGATTTTCTCGAATAGTAGTGCCCGAGTTGATGACTATTTACGGCTTCCAAAGCTTTCGAAGAAGCTCAACACTCAAATCCCCCACTAGTTCTCATCTTCAGCTACATTTTCCAACCCCACATCGATAGGTTCTGATCAGCGGCTCTGGAGATTTCGAGTAATTTAGGCAAAGCTCAGGGTGCACTACTATTGGGTTGGGGACTATGACTCGGCGCCAAACTTTAAAGACACTTTTTGCACGCATAAAGCCTTCTTTAAACATACGTTTGGTTTCATCAAAAGGATCCACTATTTCTCTACAAAATCACTTTTGAGAGATTCCACAAAGCTTTTCTTTCGTGGAGTTTATGAACTTCCAAACGCAGCTGGTTAAAATGGCAAAGAGTCCGACTCATCATTTGAACAGTTTCTTTCACATAAACCTTCTTTGGTGTTTATATAAAAAAGATAGAGCACATTCAATTACTTAAGTTGCCAAATTTGCAGGAAGATCCCACCAATGGTTTTTTCTAGATCACAGTTTGTAGTTTTTGTGAAAAAATGGCTTTTTCTTGAGCGGAGGCGCTGTTTGAATTTTCTTTTAAATGTCATTTTGTAGAGAATTAGTTAACCATTCTACTCATATCAAACGCATATTATTTGACGAAGTCGAATAGAAGTTTTACACATTTTTTTCATTTTCGGCGCCGACTCATTCTCCCCAACCCAATATTAGAGAAAATCCGGTATCTTAGAGAGAACATTTGAGCTCGCCTTTTGCTTCCTTGACAATCGAACTTTAAACTCAAATATCTTAGCGTACAGTTGCCAGATTGAAATAGTTTTTGGACCATTCGACTGGTCATGTCTTCTTCTATCGATTGGTAAAAAATTATTTCAATCGGGCTAACGAGAAAGAAATAAAAAGCAATAATAGTTGGGGGTGCACTACTATTATATTGATACTTTATTCAGGACATGAAATAAAGCGTAATCAGTCAGACAATACACAAATCTACACATAAATACATAGAGAAAGATGAGATATTTTACTCGGCGATGTGGAGGCGGGGAGAAAAGAAGATAGATAGAAGATAGGCTTCTTGCTTTAATAACCTCAGGCCATGAATGGGCCAACCCAGTGGAAGAGTGAACTCCGCTAGAGAAGGGATCTCTAGTCAGCTCTAGAGAAGACACCTCTAGTCTGGGCGCACGGGCTAGGGAAGAGAACCCTAGGGGGGCCGAACCCCACACCCTCAGTTTGGAAGTGAGAACTTAACCAATACACCATGAGGGCCTTATTAGAGAGAATACGGTATAAAATAGATGTGAAAGTGTCTAAACGGGATCATCAAGCTGACTTTTTTTGAATATCCGACTTTAGGCTCCCAAAAAATCTAGCCATAAGACATTTGAAACCCGTTTTAATGTTATTTTTGCAGAAAAAGAATTGGTTTTTCTAATGAAACAAACCGTAAATCAATTAGTGAATTTGTTTGGTTTTAAACGGATTCGAAAAGAAGCGGAAAGATTTTCTGGACAGCCTAATAGATGAATTTGATACAGTCCCAGTGTTACCAAGCCATAATGCTTATAAGCCATGCTTATCAATCTACTTTTTTCTAAAACTATGACTTAAACATATTGTATTCTTAAACAACTTTTGTTTATTTCAATAATGTTCAATCTTTTTCTTTTCTAGATAGTACAATTTCTCTGTTTATTTCATCAAATCGTTATCGCTTTCATCAAATCGTTATGTAGTGCGACTCTTCGCTTAACAAATCTCTTTTTTTTCAAACAAACTTCTTTGTTACTGTTACTTTCTTTGTTTTTTTTTGTTACTGTGTATCAGAAAGCATATGTTTACGTTCGAATTTTTGTTGTTGGTTACAAATTCAAAGTTTCAAGCCCGTCTAGAGCCAGATCTTTAGATCTTCTTTAGATCTTTAGTCACCTTAGATCACTTCTTTGGATCTTTAGTCACCTTAGATCACTTCTTTGGATCTTTAGTCACCTTAGATCACTTCTTTGGATCTTTAGTCACCTTAGATCACTTCTTTGGATCTTTAGTCACCTTAGATCACTTCTTTGGATCTTTAGTCACCTTAGATAATATTTCAAAGTTCATATTTGACTCTAAATTCGATTTTCTAAAAGCTTGAGAGCTTTCTGAACGCTAACCATAGCTCGATTCTTAAGAATTAATTTCAAAATCTTTTTATTTTTGCATTACTTGAAAGTTTTCCCATTGAATTGTCTAAATTTTGTTCATTTCAGGTGAAAAATTTCATCAAATGAAACGATGAAACGCGGGAAATTCTCAATTTTCTTTATTTTTCTCTGGATTTGTGTAAGAAATTCGATTTTCACGTGAAAATTTGTAACTTTTAAAGGACGGGAGTGCTTTCGAATGGGTGACACGGGTGGATTTGAACGGGAAAATTTATGAAGAGAAAACGATTCAACCGTGGTTTAAAGTACCGCACAATCATCAAATGGTTTCATTTAATATTTATAAGCTATTTAAAATTGATTTAAAATTGGTTTAAAATTGATTTAAAATAAATAGAATAGAAGAAGTGATTAAAGTTGATTTAAAATCGATTAAAATTGATTTAAAACTGATTTAAAATTGGTTTAAAATTGGTTTAAAATTGATTTAAAATGATTTAAAATAAATAGAATAGAAGAATTGATTAAAATTTATTAAAATTTATTACAAATTTATTAAAATTGATTTCAAATTGGTTTAGAATTTGTTTAGAATTGATTTAAAATAAATAGAAATAATTAAAAAGTATCTATTTCTCGGCTAGATTTCAATTTTTCTTAGGTTCAACCGGATAAAATCGCCGAATCATCTTTTGGAAAACATTTCGTGCCGGAGAATGAGGTTTTTGTGGAAAATATTCATTGATTATTCATATCAGATTAGTGAATTGTCAGATATCAAATATTTACAAAGAAAAATCAAGTATTCAATAAAAAAAAACTTTAGCCTTACATTGCACCGAAATGGAGCAACGAGGAGGAGAAGTATTTCCCGTGCAGAGATCGTGTCTGCGTTTGTGGATATTTTAACGGTACATTTTGAGATTTGATTTATTAAATCTTAAAGGCTTATTTTATAGATAGCTAATTTTTAAACTCTTTAACTAGAAGCAATTTAGGAACTGTGAAAGACGGAGAGTGCATTCTGCCATCAGGTTTGCCAAAGTCGGCGTTCTTTGTGCGTTCTTTGTGCGCTCTTTGTGCGCTCTTTGTGCTCTCTTTGTGCGCTCTTTGTGTGCTCTCTGTACTTTCTTTGTGCTTTTTCTGGCACATTTGAATAATTCTTAACGAAAACTAAGCAATCACGTGTGCCAGAAAGTGTGCGTTTACGAAATAAAGTACCTAATGATCAGGTTACACTCTCAAGAAAGCGCATCGAAAAGAGATTCGACAGTTAAGAGATGATGAACGATTGGAGTTCGAGGTGATTTGCGGGAAAATGGATATGAAATTGATACATCCAACAATTTCAGGCTGCGGTGAATCGCTTGAAGCGAAGCGGGGAATACAATCGAGTGAGTCGAGTGCACAAGTATTCGGGCGTGCACTCAGGACCCGGTTTCACGCTTTGGCATCGAGAATTTCTAAAGAGGTACGCTTAAAGATTCTAAATAGAGTTAAAAGAAAGCACTAATCAAATTTCAAAATCTAATATATAAAAGAGAAGTGTCTGTCCGTTCGTCCGATCAGAAAACTACAGACAATTGAGAGGCATAATGATTGCTATATCTTGCAGAATTTGAAACAGATTTATTCCATTTGAACGCTCAACAAGGTGAAAATGGTTAGGCTTAGGCTGGCTTATTGTTAAATCCGTTGAATTAACTTTCACATAATAGAATAGCCAAAGTTTACCAAAACATTCTCAAAGAAAAAAGAATAGCAAATCCCTAAATAGCAAATCAATAAAAAAGAATAGCAAATCCCTAAATAGGACAAGGTATTAGGATAATGATCAATGCAAAACTAACTTTTCTCAATCAAAACCTCAAATGGATCAACTGGTTTAATACTTGTAACTTGTAAATGTAACTTGTAACTTGTAAATGTAACTAGTAACTTGTAAATGTAACGGGTTAACTTGTAAATGTAACTTGTAACTTGTAAATGTGACTTGTAACTTGTAAATGTAACTTGTAAATCACTTTTAAATACTTTACCTGGACAATAGCACTTGTATGCACGAGATGAAAAGCTTAAATCACTACCAAAATACAGTATACTTTTCACTAAACTTAACTTAGCTCACTTTAAGCTCACTATCAGCTTTTCGAATTTATTTGATAATAACAAAGCTTGTCTCAGATTCGAGTTGTTATTCCGTCGTGCAATGAGACCTGAATATGGACATTATTTGGGTATTCCTTATTGGGATTCGACGTTGGACTCGGTGATTCCCGATCAAAGGCACACGGTGATGTTCACGTGAGTCATTTAAAAGGAATTTTTCAAAAAGAGAATTAAAATCATAAAGATATTGTGCAGAAAAGTTTAGTATTGTTTTCTGTTTAGTAAAGAATATACTAAGTCTTGCTATTTTATGCTTTCAAATCGGATTCTTTTAATTTGAATCTGAATCTCGTTTTTCTTTGTCAGAATTGAACTTGTCAGAATTTTTCTTTGTCAGAATGGCTCAGCCCGACTTTGTTGTAGATCTGGGTTTACCAGAAGGTTCAAAATTGATTATCTATTGAAAGATAATCAGAAAAATCATTCAAAACCAGTGAATCTGAATCAGTGAAAACATTGTTTAACTCTTTCATTTTATTTTATTTTATTAGTCTAGTTTTGTGTAAGATTGTAGTTAAATAAAATAGCTAAAAACATTCTCAATCACTGAGTCTTAACATATATAAATTGATCTACAATAAATTTATCATCAAAAAGTCCCTGGAAGTCAGAAGAAGAAGTCAGACTTGAACCTGACTCAGCCTGACTTTGTTGTAGACCTGGGTTTAACAGAAGGTTCAAAATTGAGACTTCTGACTGTGCTTTGACCTGATACAGACTTTAAACATCTTTAAACATCCTTAAACATCCTTAAACATTTTTAAACATCTTTAAACATCTTTAAACATCAAACTTCTTATCCAGTGATGAGCTTCTGGGTACAACGGATAAGGACAACTTTGTGCGGACAGGTCCCTACGCGAATTGGACCACGATGGAGGTTCGCTGATTGAAATAAGTCGAGTAATTACAAAAGTATAAGTACAAGTTTAAGTAAACTCCAAAAATTTTGACAATTCTAGGGAAAAGACGCGATTGAGCGAACGATTACCCATGACAATGAGGGAGAGTTTTTGTCTCGAGGTCAGCTCTAGTTACTTGCTCTTACTTTACACTTTGTGCTTAACGTAACAGTAACTATAAATGTGACTTTCTTGCGTAAAGATATCTTTCTATTTTTCAGCTAGAGTTGATTGGATTATCGACAATGATGATTATCGAGCTGTTCTAGCGGCAACTCTACCAATAACCGTGAGTGGCATTGGCAATATAAATTTTGTACTCTATGCTGCATTGCAGTTGCTTTGCCTCTCTTGTTCTCTTGTAAACGCAAGGTTTCTAGTGCTTCTTAGCTTTTGAGAAAATGAATGCGTGCTTAATACCTCTACAACTTTTGTACTTTAGAAGAAATGAGAGTCAAAGCTGTTTAAGTGCTTCTCAAAGCTTGCTAAGTCTAATTTCAGACTTGTCCAACGTATTCCACACTGGATGATCGATTTCTTGAATACTCTCACGATTATGTTCATTTCTTTATTGGGGGTTTGTTTTTGAAAGCAATAGTTGCATCATCATCTTCTTCTTCTTCTTCTCCTTCTTCTTCCTCTTCTTCTTCTTCTTCCCTCTTCTTCTTCTCCTTCTTCCTCCTCTTCTTCTTCTTCTGCTTCTTCTTCTCCTTCTTCCTCCTCTCTTCTTCTTCTTCTTCTTCTTCTTCCTCTTCTTCTTCTTCTCCTTCTTCTTCTTCTTCTTCTTCCTCTTCTTCTTCTCCTTCTTCCTCCTCTTCTTCTTCTTCTTCTGCTTCTTCTTCTCCTTCTTCCTCTTCTTTCTTCTTCTTCTTCTTCTTCTTCTTCTTCCTTCTCCTTCTTCTTCCCTCTTCTTCTTCTCTCCCCCTCCTCTCTTCCTCCTTCTCTCCCTTCTCCCCCCTTCTTCCCCCTTCTCCTTCTCCTTCTTCTTCTCCTTCTTCCTCCCCTCTTCTTCCTCTTCTCCTCTTCCTCCTCTTCTTCTTCTTCTTCTTCCTCTTCTTCCTCTTCTTCCTCTTCTTCTTCTTCCTCTTCTTCTTCTTCTTCCTCTTCTTCTTCTTTAACCTAACCAGCAACTCCCGGCTAAACGGGGTTATCTAAAAGAGCTAAGCTTTTTTGGATAAAAGCATAAAAGCCAAATTTTTAGGTGACATGAGTCGATCTCATTCTTCCTCAAATGATATCGTCTTTTGTTTGCACCACTCAATGATTGACAACATTTTCGAGAGTTTTCGACAAAAGAAACAAGTAAGTTGGGGATACTTTTTATGGTAAGATATTATCTTTTTTTTGACTAAATACGTTTGCATACTGTAAAGACAGAGAAATTTAAGCAAAGATAAGTTTAAGAACGAGATCGAACGGGAAACGATCTACCACAAAAACGATGAGCGCTGTTTTCCACCATGGCACAACGGGGATCATGTGATGCCGTTTCTTCATCCATATACGAATTTGGTAAGGAAATTTTGAAGCTTTGTTTTATTCAAAGTTTAGGATGCTTTATCAAATGATTATACAAAGAATATGTACGAGTTTGCGCCAAGACCAACGTGCGGTCGGAGAGAGATGGATTGTGGATCAAGGTTTAGAAAAAATGAGCATTTTTGTGGAGCTTGTACTTTGTGCTTCAAACGTATTCTTTCTAGTGCATTCAATCTGTCTATTTAAAGATTAGTGTCATTCTTGAACATATCGCAAAGAACAAGCATTGTACAGAGATTGAAGATTGAAAGATAAGATTGCAACTGCCTGAGAACTGGACTAGGTAAAAGACTCTAAGAGTAGATTCAGGCTTAGGCTTAGGCTTAGGCTCAGGCTTAGGCTTAGGCTTAGGCTTAGACTTAGGCTTAGGCTTAGGCTCAGGCTCAGGCTTAGGCTTAGGCTTAGGTTGAGGCTTAGGCTTAGGTTTAGGCTTAGTAGGTTGAGGAGATCAAATTCCATGATGCTTTCATCACTGTATGGAAAAGTAAAGAATTGAGTGCACTAGAAAGGATGTATTTTTATTTTTGAGCACAAAATACATGATAAAGAAATTCTCGGTTTGACAGAATGATTAATTTCAGATTTCTTTTTCTGTCACATTTACGAAAATGAGCCGATTTGCATCTCGAAGGTCGGTTCTTTTGGGAAAAAAATGTGCCAAAGATATTTTTAATTATAAAATCAATCAATTAAATCAATCAAATCTAGTTTTCGTAATTTTTTCAATTAAAATTCCCTTATAACTTTAGGTAAAGCTTGGCGGTGATTGCTCGGGCTTCGAGGGGACACCAATCTGTTATCAAGGGCATTGCGTGAAGGGGAGATGTTTGAAAAATGATCCGATTAAGGAGCAAATATTGAAAGTAATACGAAAGAGTCAAGATTTGCGAATGTAGTGAAATAAAGGATGTTGAACAGAACAAGAAGCACAAGAAGAACAAGAAGAACAAGAAGAACAAGAATTTTGTCAGCAGCTTTACATGTCAAGAAACAATGAGTTCAAGGTTGAAGGAAAGGTGAAAGAGAAGTGTTCAAAGGCGAAGCGCTGTCTAAAAGTTGTTTAGAGTCTAAAGTTAAACTAAACTAAACATTCTAAAGTACTAACTTTGGCAAATCAAGATCAGAATCAGGGCCAAGTTCTAGCCGGGCTTCTCTTAAGCTTGAATTCTATTCTTTTGTGATTCTATTCTTTTCTCTGATCCATTTCCAGAAGATCGATTTCTTTTCATCTATTTCCAGAAGCTCTATTTATCTTCTTACTATCAAATAGATACTATTAAACACTTAAAAATTGATTTTAGTTCTTTAACTTGTTAAAGTGCTAAAAGCAAAAATGTTTTGACAGTGAAAGGGGATTCGAACTTTGATAGTACAGTACTGGACAATGAAATATCATATTGGAAAAAAGATCGTCACTTTCGCGCGTCTGTAACTGCGTTATCTTTGAGTTTAAACTATTAGTGTTATACATTTTCTGAAAGCTCTTTTCAAGGGCTACACAATGGTAATATTAATATTTAGAAATACGGTAAAGACAACGGAGTTACAGACGCGCGAAAGTGGCGATCTTTTTTCAAATATGATATTTCATTGTCCAGTAGTGTATCTATTCGAATTCGACTTCCATAAACTATATCCCAGATTAGCTGCTTTTTTTCAATCAACTTTTCCAAAAAACAGATCGATTTTGAATTAAAAACCGAGTAAAACAAATTCTCAATAAAAGATTTCCGAAAAGAATGCATTGTCTGAATAAATATAAAGAAAAATATTGTTTTTTTGTATCTTTTCTTTGAAATATTTGAAAACTCAAATATTTTATGATAAATTTTGAAATTCAAACAGCTTCAGACTCTAAAAGCTTTTTGAAGCGCTTATCAAAACGATAAATTCTTTCACTTGCCCATTTTTCTCTCGTCACCTTTTGCCACGTAAGATTTTGGATCAATCAAAATCGTTCTTGTTTTGGGAACTCTGAAATTCTTGGTTACAATGTTATTTTGCTGACCAGTATTTCTAAAATGCAAAAAGAGCGGCTGATTTTTATTTTTTCCATCTTTTGCCTTTCATTTTACATTTTTCTCGACACTTATTTTGCGGATCTTAAGACTTATGGGTACTGGTTACCAGGTGAGTTTAGGAAAATCGAATTTTTGAATATGAATGGGCAAATGAAAAGAGTTGAGTGTGCTTTGGGTGTGTTTTGGGCTAAAAATCCACTCAAAATGCACCTACCGTAAATACTGTAATAGTACCCCACCGCCCTCGTACAGTCGCGTAGTCGCAAAAGTTTTTTAGTACTTCATTTTTTTCATGGCGCCCGTATTTTCAAAAAATGCGTCTTTGGTATCAAAAAATAGCCCTGAATCTCAGCTATTTTTTGATACCTAAACGCACCTTGTAGCATAAACCAGTGTCGAGAAAAACTCGTTCAAAGCTAGACTACGCAACACTCCGCACCGTCATTATGGGGCTGGGGTGTATTACAGTATTTATAGTATATTTTGTGTACTTTGTACTCAAGAAGGTCGAATCTAGGAGGGCTAAACATACGGTGAGCTGTTTGACTGCAGCATACTAAGCAGCTGTTTGAATGCAAAACACTCAGCATCGCCGAGAGAGTTTCAATTGCAATCAAATTAGGACTAGAGTTTAGCTAAAAGGTGGAGATCTTTTCCATTTCCCAGAGCATTAGCAGTGTAAAATTGTTGTCTTGAACGATGTTGTCTTGAATGAAATGAGTGTTTCCAGAAAACGCGGATCTTTTCGACACATGTCCTTTAACAGTCTACGATCCATTCTACAAGGATATTGGGATGACGATTAGGTTGGTGTGGAGGAAAATGAATAAAGCTGGGTTTTCCATTAACATCTAGAAGCTCTTGAGGCACGATTTAGATACAAAAACCCGTTGACGGGTTGCAACAAGAAATATTCGCCGATGACAAAACTTGAGCACGGGTTTTTATCGATCAAAAAGAGCAATCTAAGCGATTTCACGTGTAGAGCAAGGTTGGCTTTAGTTACAGTTAAAATACCCAATTTTTAGCTCACTTTAAATGCATTTATTTTAAGGTGTTACGACTACAAACATCCGACGAGATCAATCCCAAGAAATTGGACAAAAATTAAGGAGACTTCGCCAATGAAATTCGACTGTGATTTTGTGCATGCTGAGTGCATCGATGCCCAGGAAAAGATACTGGACAGCTATTTGCATACACAGATTGTGGAAAATGATAAAAGGTTTTTGTAATTGGAAAGCTCTATAAACCGTAGCTTTCTTGCTTTAGTACGGTCACTCTATCAACGAATCTCCCAAATGGTAAAATGCCCGATGTTTATGTGATCATTATCGACTCTCTTTCATCAACGCAAGCAAGAAGGTGATTTTTTGAGGAAAAATGACTGGAATTTAGTGAATTTATGAAGTAAACGCACAGATGTACAAACTTTGCAACTTATAATAAGTGATACACTCAAAGCACTGTTTAGAAGACAAAACATTAGTTGGAACTGGAGCAGATCAAAAACTTGTGCAAAAACTTGTCAAAAAACTCGCATCGGCGGGACTCGAACCCGCGATCCTCCGCTTACCAGCCGACGGTGCTAGCCATCATACTACAACGCACTTAGTCGCCCTTGCGATAGAGGGGATTAACCCATTGTTCTGAAGGTTTATTGAAATACAAAAACATGTGGGTATGAATTGATCTATGAATTGAGCCAAGAATTGAGCCATGAATTGAGCCATGAATTGAGCCAAGAATTGATCTATGAATTGAGTCAAGAATTGCTAAATCCATTTTTTAGAACACTTCCCCGAACACTGAGCTTTTTGGAGAGTCAAATGGGCGGAATGCATATGCATCATTTGAATAAAGTTGGAGAGAACTCTCGCCCAAATGGTTTTGCCATATTGATGAGTTGGTTTACTGGAAATTCGTGTATTAATTTGCCGAATAAGTACCGAATAAGTGCCGAAGAAATCTAAATAAGGGTTTAAAAATAACAAAACTCATCAATGCACGTAGAAACAATGAACATAAGAATGAACTCAGATTGGCGAATTCAATACATTCGTCGGCAAGCCTACGGGGGAACTGATCTGCACACGCTGTACAATCGGACAATGTACTGCGATACGTATCACGACGATGATTTCGTGATCTTTCGCGAATTCGAGAAAATCGGTATTCTAGGAAAAACGTAAAGACAAAGAAAAAGAAGGAATTCAGGCTACAAAACGATGTACAATGACGATTACTCATCGGGCAATGTTTTCACATGGCCGAATTGCAAAGGCTTCACAAAGCATGAAGCAAATCATGGTTTTCGGTTTGAGAATTCTGAAATTTTTGATATTAAACTAAACTTAAGCCCATTTATCTACGCCTGGGGACATCACAAACCCCTCCAAGAGCACGTGAACGCAAAAAATTGTCTGGAAAAATTCGCACTCCAACTGCAGTATATCTCGAAATTTGTCAACTCTTATAATGGTATGTTTAGAGTTCATATCTTGAAAAAAACAGTTTAAGGAACGAATAAATTCGTGCTAGATTGGATGACAGCGTTGAGCCACGACGATCCGAATGATCTCTTTCATGCGGATGAAGCCTATGAGGTGGATCGCTTTATAGAATAGAATTATAGAATTGGTTATGCTGAGATGCTTCTACTTCTTCCAAAGGAGCTCTGTAAAGCGAGATATCTGGCATCAAAGTTTAGGCCTTTTTGGCGTCTTTATAGACTTTTCTCTCTTCCTTGAGAGCTATTAGGTTGGCAACTTAATAATGACGCGTCACTACTTAACATGTTTTTTGTAATTTCAAGCGCCGTTTCTTCCCTCTTTTTTTGCATATATACAAAGTAAAAGATGTCTACATAAATAACATTCAGTGCTCCAAATTTCATCATTTGCTTTTTGGCAAAAAATGGAGGACAAAAAATTCCGTATTCGAGCTGCATTGTTCTACGATTTTAAACAAGGAAAATCACCAGCTGAATCTCATCGCACGATCATCACTGTTTTTGGGGAGGAAAGTATACACATTCCGCAATGTCAACGATGGTTTCAAAGATTCCAAGGCGGCGATGAAAGCCTCGTAGACGAGCCACACTAAGGACATCCTCCAGAAGTGGTCGACGATGACTTGCTCGCCTTAATTGAAGATTGCCCAACACTCACCGTTCGTGAGTTGGCAGAAATATTTGAAGTATCCCATACGACAATCAAAAACTATTTACACAAACTTGGGAAAAGAATCGAGTTGGAAAATGGGTTCCTCACGAACTGGCCCAAAGCAACAAAATTTCGCCTCAATTTTGCTACAAAAATGTAAATCAAACGACTTTTTTCATAAGGTTTTGACTTCTGACGAAACGTGGATCAACTACGAGAACGTTAAACGCAAAAATCAATGGCTATCTGCTGGGCAGACCCCTCAAACCACTCCCAAACCTGATATCCATGGGAAGAAGATAATGCTCTGTTGCTGGTGGAACTTCAAGGGATTGGTGCATTGTGAAGTGCTGAAACCTGGCCAAACCGTCGATGCTGATCTTTATTCGAAGCAATTAATGAGAGTTAACGAGTCTTTGAAGAAATTGGGGCTCAAACCGGAGAGAGTCAGATTTTTACACGACAACGCAAAACCTCACACTGCAAAGATCACTTATAAGAAAATCGAGGAACTTGGCTGGAAAGTTTTGCCCCACGCGTTTTATTCACCTGATCTGGCTCCTTCAGATTACTTTTTGTTTCGGTCACTGAAGCACTTTTTGGAGGGAGAAAAGTTCGATGATCATGCTCGGATCATAAAAGCAGTGAATGACTACTTCGCCTCAAAAACTCCCAAGTTCTTCGAGGATGGGATCCGGGATTTGCGCAGAAGATGGGAAGAAGTCATAGATACTAATGGAGAATACCTTTCGAATTGAAAGCTCTTCTTTTGTGTTTTTTTAAAATAAATGATTTGTTACATAAACGCGTCATTATTAAGTTGCCAACCTAATAGTAGCGCAGTGGATAGTGTGCTTGTCGCTCGAATTCTTTGTCCGAGTTCAAGTTCTCGTTCAAGTTCAAGTTCTATTCACCGTATAGCCAAAAATGGAGGCTGGTCAGATTGAGCTCATTTGAGGATCTGAAAAATGGACTGCAAAACTCCAATCAAAAATCTTTTGGCACAGAAATGCAGGCAAGAATTCAGGCTTCATTCTCTATAACACTTAGGGTTTTTGAATTGATTGTGGCATGCAATCTGCTGAAACGGTATAGCCGTAATTTTGGCTTATCTCGATCTAAAGTTGACCTGTAACTCGATCTAAAGTTGACCTAATCAACCAGTGTACAGTGTTCTTCTTAACAAAGTTTAAGTGTACCAGAAAGGGCTTGTTTTTAGGGCACAAAGTACTTTCTTTGAATAGCTTTAAGACTTGAAAGCAATCCGTTTAGAGTTTCTTCCGAACGAATCAGAAAAAGTTTGAGAATGCTTTCATCTTTTTCATGGGCGATCACGGGCCAAGATTTGGAGCGGTGAGTCCAATTAGAAGACTGAAGATCGGGCTTTTAAAGCTTTAAACTTTAAGAATTATCATTTAATATGATCATTTAGATCATTTAGATCATTTAGATTATTTAGATCATTTAGATTATTTAGATTATTTAGTTTATTTAGTTTATTTAGTTTATTTAATTTATTTAGATTATTTAGATTATTTAGATCATTTAGATTATTTAGATCATTGAATTCAGGTTCCAAGGACAAAGCTGGGTCGACGAGAGCTGAAAAACCCGCTTCTGCACATGACTGTACCAAAATGGTTACGAAGCAGTGAACAGGTTTAGATTGTTGATTTGATCTAAAGCTTGATCTAAAGCTGATCAGCTGATCAGTTTGAGCTAAAGCTTTCTTACTGTACTAATATTTTGCAGTTAGTTCTTGTTCTAATGCCAATATTCTCAATTTTCTTTCAGTTAATGTCGAATCTCCGAGAAAACTCATTAAAACTCCTCACTCAATACGATGTTTTTGCGACACTTGTCGATATTTTGAAGGTAAATCTTCTCACAATCTTCTCACAATCAAAACTCTTCAATTTCTCAGTACTCACCCCAATCGAATTACACTGATTTCTCGTTTATTCCAATGGATGAGTCAAAAATCAACAATGGCACCTCAATTCTGCGTCCACTTGGCCCATTCTCACATCGAAATTGTCGAAATATACCCACTGATGCATCGTATTGTTTATGTGAATATCGAAAGGAGGGAATCAGGTGTGTTAACGGGGATTTTCTAGCTATAGAAATGCTTTAGTGATTCGAAATTGCAAAAGGTTATGGGAAATCTTTTGGTGAATGCGATAAACAATGAGTTCATTGAGAAGAATTTGACGGCGTTGTGTAGAGAACTCGAGTTGGATAAGGTAAATGGAGGATCCTTATAGTTTTTTGAGTCCTGTATTTTCTATTATTTACTTTAGTTTAATTTTATTGTTGTTTTTTTTAATTATTTAGTTACTAAATTTATTTTTTCTTACACTTTTAGTATAATTAGTATTTTAATTTTAGGTTCTAAGGGTTTTCAGTGTATTGTTTTTCATAATTTTCATATTTTAAGTCTTTCTGGCTATGGCTTAGTTCAGATCAGATCGTCAGATCAATTATCATTTTATCGTTAATCTTTTTCAGGTGATAGCCGCTAATTCCTATGTGCCGATCGAGAAGACTTTCCTCTACGAGATTGTGATTAAAACGAAGCCGGGTGGCGGAGAGTTCAGTAGTGTGAGTTTGCAAAGTTCAAGATAGATTCAAGAGAGATGAAAGATAGAAAGCATATACCTTAATGCAAGGTGTTCAATATTTATGCGGATCAGTAGATTACTAGGTTTCGAGCTCATTTTGTACAAATTTAATGCTAAAAAGGAAACACAATTATCAAAAAGCCCAATGTGAACAACTTTAAGTTACTTTTTCAGAATAATTACCTTTTGCACTGTTGCTTGCCTAGAAGCGCTAGAAAGTCGGATAAATTGAGGTTATCACAAAAGCTTTCTTGAAATAACTCGTTAAGCTTTCTTGGAAGAACGAAAACTTGATTGAAAAATTGAAATGTGATTCTAACATTTTTAATTTAAAATGGCTGGGAAGAATTTATGGGTTGATTTTTGAGAAATCACCGTGCAAACTCTTTTCGAGAACTTTCTTTCCAATCTAATAGTTGTGAAATTGAAGAATTGCTCTCTAAACTCATCAAAAAAAAACTCATCAAGCTTTCAGGTACTCAAATCCTCAAACTCAATCGATTTCGTGTTGAAGGGTGACATTCTACGAATTAATTCTTATGGAAAAGCGGGTGATTGTGTGGCGAATAGTTTCTCTGAGATGCGTCCACTTTGCCTATGTTTCGATTATAAGCCACCACCAAAAAAAGGAAAGCATTGAAAGGATAAGAGCTCTTTTTCAATGTTTTAAATGAAGAAATGACTATAAGTTTGATAATTTGATATCTTTGATTCTTTATAATGTTCCAAAAAACTCGGCATTATGTTAAACGGTGCTATTTTTTTGGGCTTCTCTTAAGTTATGTTTTTCTGAAGCTTTCCACCGTAATCCTGTCTCTTTCTTTAAATAAATTTATCTATTTTTTAAACTCATTCTTTGTAGGATATCGAAAGATAGAAAAGTTAGTTAAAAATTCGAGACAAGAACACGGTAGTTAGTTGGAAATGTTTTAGAAAACTTTTCAAAAGAATCCCACTTTAAAAAGTCGATTATTGCTATGAATGTAAATGCAAATTTCACGTATGAAAATATATATTCAACTAATGCAATTAAAAAGCAAACAAATCAAACAAATAAAACTCAGACTTCAGCTTTCAATCGAAAAATCAATCGGAAATATTGTCTTGACTATTGGGTTGGTAAATTGAAAACTGCGGGACTTTGAACTAAAATTTATTCAACCTAAAACCATGAATTCATTCCAAATAATTTCCATTATTATTGACGACTTCTGCCCATTTTACAGGCAATTTGCGGATTCCTCTTTCGTAGTAGGAGCTTGGTTTGTGTGTGAGACAAGTGTGAGACTCAAAAATCGAGGACTGGAGATGTCCCAGTTTGAGCATTTGAGCACTTTCTTCAAAAGAAACCCATTTTGGTGTCAATAGAAAAGTTATCGAGAATCAAAAATTAGGCTTATAGCCAAATTTCCAAAAAGATACACTTAGTAGTTTCGCTTAAAATGCAAGTTTTGTCAAAAAATTCGTAAATTTGGCATTTCTTGAAAACCGGTTTTTGAATCGTTCTGAAAATTTGGATATAAGCTTGATCTTTGATTCTCTGCAACTTTTCCATTGACACCAAAATGGATTTCTTTTGAAGAAAGTGCTCAAACTGTCAAATATGACAATAGCCCGCAGTTTTCAATTCACCAACTAGATTGAGATTAGCCTTGATTTGACGATTTGGAAACGGTTTGAAGAGATTGCAGAGCAGAGAGGGAAGGGGGTTATGTAAAAGCCCTGAGTCAGACGACGAGCGATTAGCAGCCGCACAAAGAACACACAGAACACACAAATTTTAAACGGAACTACTAAGTGTATCTTTTTGAAAATTTGGATATAAGCTTGATTTTTGATTCTCTACAACTTTTTCATTGACACGAAAATGGGTTTCTTTTGAAGAAAGTGACGAGTCATGCTTTTACTTGCTATCCTACGCCTTATTAAATCGATCAAACAACAATGACACAACTAACAAATGACAACTACCTTTCAATAAAAATGAAATGCGAAGTTGGCCTAAAAATTACAGGTTATCAGTTAGGTTGGGTTGTCAGAGATTGCTCACGATCCGAATCTTCTCTTTCACGGCGATGGGCTGTATGAACTTTGAGATTGAAAGTTTTTGAAGGGAAATTGTTCAGGAGTTTTTTCGAGAGAATCGAAAGAACCTTGAGAATGCGTTTATTTTCTTTATGGCCGTTCATGGACCAAGATTTGGAGCGGTTAGTTGAATTCCATCAGTGAGATCAGATATTTCCACCAAGAGTGAAGAGTATCAGGAAAGAAAAATAAATTTCTTATACTACAGAAACGTACAAAAGTTTTTGAGTACTACAGAAACGGCTCTAGTCCATTAAAGGGAGTATCGAATGAGTAGTCACTCTTTGAGAGCTCATAACTTTATCTAAAGATAATATTACTTTTAAATTTTTATATAGTTTTAAAGAAGATCTTTTAAGCTTTTAAATGATACTAAATAAAGGCTGATTGAAACATGCAGTTCTAATAAAATCGAGAGATAAAACAGAGTTGGATTCTCTCAGTCTCTCAGTCTCTCAGTCTCTCAGTCAGTCATTTATTCCTTCAGTTTGACTGCTTGTTTAAGCAAAGCAATGATTTGACAAGCTCTAGAATTTGTAGCAAAAATACTAACAAATTTACATGGAAATATTTTCAAAAATTTGGATTTTGAAACATTTGAACGCCCCGCCCCTTTTCCCATTCTCAATCTAACTTTGAACTCAAATATCTTCATGCTGGGCTCTTCATTTTAAATAGTTTTTATAGCAATCGATAGAGAAAGACTTGGCGCATCTAGTGATACCAATAATTTCTAAATTGGACAGCTCAACCCCAAGAAATCTGAGCTTAAAGTTGGATTGACAATACTCGAATCAAGCTCGAATTTTAAATCATTCTAAAGCTATTGGCTATAGCTAAAAAGGCATAAAAGCTAAAAAGATTGAATGGTTTTCGTAGTTTTCAATTCACCAACCCAATACCATCATTGAATACTACTATTAGTTTTAAAAGCTAGAAAAGAGAAAGCTTGATATAAATCTTTACAGTGGCGCCTAAGCCTAAGCCTAAGCCTAAGCCTAAGCCTAAGCCTAAGCCTAAGCCTAAGCCTAAGCCTAAGCCTAAGCCTAAGCCTCATTATGCAACAAAAATCTAACAAAAGACGTTCTCCCAACGTTTGTTTTTGGCGAGTTTACCACTTTCACCTAAGCGCCAGGAGATTATTTCAATGTTATGGTTCGCAAAACAAGGTTTGTTTATTTACAGTTTGTTCAGTTTATTTACAAATGATAAGCTTTATAGACCTATCTGGAGTGAAATATACGATGAACTCGACTAAACAGACTGGACTCATCACAGCACCGAGATTCATTGATGGCAAAAACACGAAATACTCCTTTTCATTTATAAACGTAAGCGAAGTTTAAAGTACAGGGAACATCATAATTATGGGCTCAGATAAATCAGTCGGTATTAATCAAAAATCGAAACTCTCTCGCACTTTTTTGATGTTGGACTGAATCACTACAGAACGCCGTTTCCCTCGACCAGCTCTATCAGCATTTGTTCTCAATTCCGTGAAGCGTTTAATCGTCCTGTTCCCGAGCCGCGTAGAAACTCCCAAATTTTAGAAATTGCACGTGTCAAAAGCCCCGTCGTTGCAACGCTATGATCGAGTTCCGATAAACACTGATGATCTCTAAAAACAGTTTATAATCTTAACATTATCAAATCACAAGAGTAAAGATGAAAAAAGTAAAAGATATAAAATAACAACATATAGGTGGCACTAAATGTTAACAGATAAAGATGACACCGCGAGGTCACAGAATCAAGCTGGCACCATAATTATGACGTATCCTGTAGAAGGATGGATTTCTGAAAATGCTTCTAGAATGGATTCTCAAAGAATTCTCTTGAACCAAAGAGTTCCTTTGTAGAGCGTGCTCTTTGTGCGGCCGCGTAATCGCTCAGTGTCTGGCCCAAAAAGGCTTGAAATGTTTAAAGCCGCCTTTTTGCCAACAAACTGAACTTATAGATTGGTAAAATTGATGAAATAGAAATCATTCTCATTCTCGATGAGATCATTCTCAATTTCAGTGCATTTTGAAAGTAGAATTTGTTTTGTATACTCGTGTAAGAACATAGAGAAAGTTTGTGTCAAAGTTGAACTTAATAGCTTAATGGGGGATTGGTGCTCTTTGCGCGTGCGCACAATCGCGAATTTTCTGGCAGAGGGTCTTTACAGATAGGGACCCTTTTCGCTCTTCTCCGGCCGTTGTGTCCACTCGCACATTGGTCCATCTGGTTTCACGAGTATAAACAATTTTTGGAGACAGAGTTTGTAGAAGCTTGCTTCTCGCTTGGTCGGTGCCTAACCCAGTGATGGAAGGCGGCGCCCGGAGCCATGAACTGGCCCGGGTGGATTGTACGAATAGCCCCCAGTAGCATAAAACCGAAAGGTTGACCGAAAGGATGTTGTGGAAAGACCCACCGTCTCCCGTGAGGGATACCGCTGAAATTCGTGGAATCGCTACTATGCACCCGTGGAGGGAGGCAGAATGGTCTGTTGCTCGTAACCGGATTACAATTATCCTCCCTTTGGGCTCCGGCTTCCGTCAGCTGTCCGCTACTCGACAGTCGTCTAGATGGCGGGAGTTTGGACACCCCATTGGAGGAACCGCGAGGTTCTTAAACCGACTGGGGATCAGATCAATCCCTTTTAGCATCAACAAAGTGTAACTTCGGAGCATTCTCCTACTTACGGTTGCGCGCACCTTAGCAAGCTGAGCATTCTTGCTGCGGGAGTCGGTGCCATCGCCAAGGACCAGACGTGGACCTCGGATCCCAAGAGTCTTCGGACTACAGGGTGGCGGAGTGCCAAGTCCAGCCACCACCTCGTGGTGCACTCTGGGCACTTCCTGGAAACAGCAAGTGGCGAAGAGCTGGACAAGAAAGGGAAAGAGCTTTTGGAGGATTTCTTTTTGTCTTTTTCTAGGTCAGAGAAAATCCAAAATAAGACTTTCTGAACAGCCTAACATTTGTACTTGGTTTCTCTAGTAACGAAAAGGAGCGTAAAGAATTTCTGGACATGTGATTTGCCCTAGCTAGGCCAAGCCTGGTTCTAAGTTCTGGCTTCTGGCCCTGCTTTTCCGGGCCTGGCTTGTTCAGAAGGTACGGGTAAATTAATTATTAGGCTGTTCAGAAAGTCTTTTCGGTCTTAAAGTCAGAAAAATCCAGACATAGGACAGTCTAAACCCGTTTTAATGTGATTTTGCCAAGAAATAATTGGCCTTTCTAATGAAAGAAACTGTAGTTCGATTAGTACATTTGTTAGTTTTAAATGGAAATACAAAAAGGAACGAAAAGACTTTCTGGACAGCTTAATAGACCGCTTTTCCCTGATAGAACTGTTCCAAAATTGAGGATTTCAAGTCTTCTGGGTTTCATAAAGCTGTACAATATGAGATATGAGATATGACATACAATATGTCAGTTATTATAAAGTCTCAGTGTCTAAAATTGAACGTGCGCTCACAATCAATGTATTGAAATAAAAGTATATGTCTATCAAGGCTAAATATCTTTGATCTTTGATCAGAACTGGCAATGATATCACACCGGCAATGTTAA